CCTTATCTTTCTCCTACTTAGTTTTTGACAAAGTTTCTCACATGAATCCTATATAGGCTTACCATTCTTCTTACTCTGTTTGGCCATCAAACTCCTGGGATCCACTGGCTCCACCCCTTCAATAATGGGCAGGAGACATTTGCATTTTGTATGTGAAAAATGCAGTAAGGTCATTTCCTTCCTTCCTTCCCTTTCTTTCTAGCAAAGAGCCTTTAATCAAGTTTGCAAACTCAGTCTCTCCGCATGTCCAATGTATTGGAATAACTGGAGAGCTCCAAGCTCAATTAAAATAGGGCTTTATAGTAGTAAAGGTGGGGGTGAGGGATTTCTGAGGTGTTAAAACCCCTGATTGGCTGACATTTGTCTAGGGTGTCCTGTTGAGTGTGTTCTGGCAGGTGTTCCTATCTACAGTGGTTGGAATACCAGGCATTTCCTTTGAATGGTCTGTTCTTGGGTGGAGGTCGGGTAATCTCAGCTTGTGGTTCCTCCTGCAACCAGACATTGCCTCAGGGTAAACTATTGAGACTCAGGTGTCCATTTAATTTCATTTCATTGATGACCAGAGTCCCAGGAGATAATGATTGGAAGTAAAGAATTTCCTTTGGGTGACCTGCCCATACTTAGCTTAACATGACTAGCCCCCACAGGTGACTCAGTCATGCATGGAAGAATGGGTCAGATGTTTTAGGAGTGTTTTTTGTTTTTGTTTTGTTTTAATCAAAATATGTGGAGTAGTCTCTTGGGGATAGGTATTCTGAGGACAATTTGGTATTTATAATTATACATTGAAAGCTGCAGTTGTCAACCAGGAGTACTTTTGCCTCCTGAGAAACACTTGTCATTATTTGGAGACACCCTTAGCCATCCACAGTGAATGGGCATTGGGCAGGCAACATGTGCTAAGTCAGTCATTCTTTCCCAGAAATAATTTTGTTCTGAGAAGACATTTGGGGGGCAGTTTTGATCACCGCATTGTATGTTTGTGAGCATTCACTTTGCTACTGATTTCTAGTGGAATGTGTTAAAGATGCAGAAGTGTGAGATGACCCTCAGTAACTAAAGAAAACTCATCCAAGTGGTATCAAGGTTGAGGACCACCATACCAGATAAGCAGTCATTTTTTAAAGTAAGCATTTTTATTGAGATGAAAGGACTAGAAATCCTACATCATTATACTGGGGAATGAGTAGGTCAAGAGCAGATTTATAGCAAGGGTGAAGAGCGTAGGCCCACATTAGGGTGTGGTAGCTGAAATCAAGCAGATTTATAGAAGAGGACACAGGAAAACACTTTCCCTGAAGATGTCATGGTATACATGTACACTAAAAGTAATGAAACTGAGTTGCTTCCTTCTTTCCCTCTCCAGTACTATCATGGTAGTGTGTCAGGAAAACTGATGTTAAAATTGCATTTGACAACTTTCTTGGCAAGAGTGTGCTAGAGATGAGCATTTTTTCTACTTAAAACTTTTGAAATCCCTTGATAACTTGAAGAACTTTGTATTAGTTAGGGGCTTATGGTTTTAGAGGGTTAAGACTTCAACGTGACAGGCTGAGCATGGCAGTGCAGGCTGGAGCAGGATGCCAAGGGCTCACATCTTGGATTGGAAGTAGGAAGCAGAGAGAGAAAACTGGGAATGGTGTTTGACTTTTCATACTTCAAAGTCCACCATCATTGACATACTTCTTGTAAGGTGCACTTCCTAAGCCTATCCTTAAAGCATCACCAACAGGGAACAAGTAAGTATTCAAATATCTAAGCCTCTTGGGGACATTCTCATTTAAACCGTCACTGCTCTTTTGTGTCAGAAGGAACAGAACCACTTTTTACCCCTTCTTTTTCTTCTCCCACCTCTTCCTCTTGACTAGTTTGAGATAATTTGGATTTGATGGTTTAGGAGAAATGCTTTTTTTGGATATGCTTAGTATTAGAATATAAGGCTATCCTGGTCTACATAGTAAATTTGAGGCAGCCAGGACTACATAGTGAGATTCTCTCTCAAAAGCAAACAGTTTGGTCTTAAACTTTTTACAATGTATAAGATAATTACATTGAACTATTAAGTGTTTTCTTCTAATTCACTGAATCCATTTTCATGAAACAGTGTGCAAAATCAGAAAGCTGGACATTATTGAATAGGATGTTCAGTGTAATAGAAAGAGTAGTATAAATTAAAAGATAGAGCTGGGGATATGGTTCAGTTGGTAAAATGCTTGCCTTTTAAGGGTGAGTTTGAACCCTGGCATTCACATAAAAGCTGACTGCAGAAGTATGCATCTGGAATTTCTATACTGGGGAGATAGGAACAGGTAGGTCTGTGGAGCTCATTGGCCAGCCAGCCTTGCTGAATAGTGAGCTCTGGGTTCAGTGGAACACCCAGTCTCAACACACCAAAAGGTAGAGAGCCATTGGAGAAGACAACACCAACCTTTGACTTTCATATATGCATGCATGCGTGTGTGTGTGTGTGTGTATATTTATGTATGTATGTATGTATGTATGCATATGTGCACACAGACAAGCACACATGCATACACACAAGCACTATTGAAGAAAAGATGATTTGGAAGAAATATTATTTGAAAGAAATAAAACCTAGTGTTGGAGGAGGGCCTGCTTGTTTGTCCCGGCCACCCAGAACCAAAATAATCACATAGAAATTGTATTAATTAAAACACTGCTTGGCCCATTAGCTCTAGCTTCTTATTGGCTAACTCTTATATTAATTTAACCCATTTCTATTAATTTGTATATTGCCATGTGGCAGTGGCTTACCTGCAAAGATTCTAACTGGCGTCTGTCTCAGGTGGAGGATTCATGGCTTCCCCCCCCCTTCTTCCCAGCATTACGTTCAGTTTCCCACTGCCCTCATCTGTGTTCCCCTATAGTTCTGCTATACGCCCAAAGCAGTTCCTTTGTTAACTAATGAAAGCAACACATAGACAGAAGGACCTCCTACACCAACCTAGTTTAGTATGTAGTATATTTTAACAGTTTATACAAAGTTTGTTTTGTTCTTACTGATTTTGACTTCTAATAAGAAACTGTTACATTTGTCTGTTTCCTTCCTGAGAAGCTGACAGGGACACAAACCAGTGTTGAGAGTAGGTAAGAGTCAGGTTAGGCATTAAAGTTCCAGTTCTTAGTGTTTTTAATGGGAGTTAGTAATAAGGTGTCTTCTTTCCTTGCTAAAAACATGTTATTACTTTTCATTTTGTTTCATGTAAGTACTGTCTGTGCAGTTGAGTGGAGGAAAAGGAGTATTGTGGTTGGAGGGGAAGGAGTAGGGGTCTGAGTAGTTCTGACAGTGCTGTCTGTTTGCTGGCCCTGTTTACTCTAGCTTCTAGGTTGGAGCCTGGTTTCCTGACACCACTTTACACCTTTACAGAGCCATGGCAAACTCTTGGGCAAGATTTATGCCAGTGTTTTATTGCTAAACTTTGTCTGCATATTTACTAAGTGAGAGCAATTGCTAGTTCTGTATGTGGTGTTTGCTGGGTTAACTTTCAGTCACATATCATGTATATAGCCAAATGTTCAGTTACGAGTCAATAATAAAGTTGTGATTTACACAGTAATTTTAAGGAGTAAATTAATTGATAGCCTTCTATAATTTAATGGTTAAATGTGGTTTGAATACTGTCTTCTTTGTATTTCCAGTAGAATTTAATTCAACTTGAAGGACAAAACCTTCACTAATTTAAAAATAATTGTCTGGATAGTTACATATTTGAAAAAAGAGCTAGTTTTGCTGTTAATTCAAATTTAGAATATGTACCTCAAGTTTTTAAAAAGAGCATCAGCATAGATATTAATCAAGTATAAATATTGCAAGTTATTTGTAAAGATATCTTTTTCCCATTTTGCTTTTTTATATGTGGGACCAGGGGGACAGGAACTATAAAGTTATCAGTGTGAGAACCATGTAAACCTGCACCTGTTGGCAGCTATGAGCAAGCCAGCCTTGCTGAACCCCAGGCCTCTGCTTCAGCCTTTTACTGGAACTAAATGATGTTGCCATTTTTATTTTTAGGTTTGCTGGCATGGGTAATCTCATTAAGGTGCTAACCAGGGACATAGACCACAATGCAGCACATTTTTTCTTGGACTTTGAAAGTAAGTCTCTTTAGCCCTTCACAGCTGGTGCATAATGGTAAAGGTGGAAGATTAATTATACTCACACCACAGTGAAGGCCAGCCAGAATATTTGTTAATTAAACACGGGGATCAAACAAAGGTTGCATGATTTTTTTTCCCTTAATTTTAGGCAAACATCACCATCATATGTTTAATTCTTTAGTTTCTCATTTGCTAAAATCATGTTGAGTCTGTAGCCAGTGCTGTCCTTTCATTAGTCCATGAAGCAAGTAGCCTTATGATGAATATTCTAATAGTGTGCTTTAGTGACTATGCCAGAGTCTATTCACTTATCCTATAATAATTTGCTTTGAGAAATAAAATCTGTGCTGCATATCTAAAATGAGTACTTTAAATAGCTTCCACAAATTTTACAAATCAAATTTGGTTAGGAATGCAGGAAGTTAAGTTTTAAATTTTAAAATGAAATGTGAAGGTGAGCTTTGGCCAAACCTCCTAATATTTGGCCTTGAAATAAATTGTTGTTTCATTGCTATATTTAGAGATTTGTAAATAATTTTTGATTGGAAATTTCTTTTTCAGAATACTAGCACTATTGGAATACTTAAAGAATTTTTCATTATAAGGCCATTAATGAAACTTGTGTTGGGAGAAATTTGAGAAGAATTAGAGCAACAGTTGTGCCATTATGTACAGGAAAAACCACATTTCACCTCTAGGTCCTACACATCAACACCTTGAGAACCCGGTTTGCTGTCTGCCAGAGCACAGTCTGGGTAACCTGAAGGATGAATTCATGGCCTAATGAACATTTTCCCTGTTACTATTTTTCTTTTAAGTCAATTTCAGTTGTTCTTTTTTATAAAGGGATATTTTCTCTTTTCTCATTCTTGTCTTGACAGGTACCTTAACATGGGGAATCTTCTTAAAGTTTTGACATGCACAGACCTTGAGCAGGGGCCAAATTTTTTCCTTGATTTTGAAAGTGAGAAGATGATTTTATATCTATTTCTCTTTGCCTGCAGTAGACTGCGTTTGTCTTGCACTAATGACTGTTTCCACTCTGCCATCTTTTTAACTGCTTTGCATGACCAAGCTGTGAATTGTTTGAGTTCAACTTCTGATGCCTTCTAGAACTGAACCAGATTTCATAAAGTAAATTACAGTAATAAAGTGTCTATTTGAATTTTGTAAAAGAATTTGTCTCTTAATTGGCTGTTATGTTATTATTTAATGCATACGATAATGAAAACACTTATGAAAAAAATTGAAAAGGAAAAAACTGCTATCTCAATATCTAATAAAAACGGTATTTGAGGAAAAATTGTATTACAGTTGAGAAAAATGGAGTAGATTTCATTTGCTCCATATGCATATTTAAAGTATTATAAACACGGATCTATCTGTTCATGAAGGCTATTCAGAATTAGTGATATGGGCATAATATTAAAAGGTAAGTGTGAACCTAAATTTAGTCTTTACAGATAATTTAAGACATCAAAATGATTTTGTATATTTCAGGAATTAATTTTATTCTGATTTAAGTAAAAAGAAAAACAATAGGTTCACAAACCTTTAAGTAATTTGCCTTGTATCTGTCCTGTCCTGTATTGCATGACTTAGTGTGATGTGGGCTAAGAGTGGCAGGTAAGTGTCATTGAGCTCTGCATGCTCTGCTTTGGCTTTTGGCTGTTATTGCTTCGGCTTGTCTGACTGTAAAATTGAGAAAAATGACTTTAAGTTGGTGTTTTAATGTGAATTTGCTATTTTAACTGATGATTAGAAAATTGTTAGGAAAGGGTGAAGAGATAACTGTAAATCATGTGATTCTTTAAATTTGAACAGGTTTTACGTACTTAAAATTTAAGACTGATTTGAAAAGCAGGTCATTTGAAAGAGAGTCGTTTTTCACCTTCAATTTAGTTTTTATATACTTCATTCTATTTTATGGACCCACGTAGCACATCTATCCTTTTAAGTCAGGTTACTTTATATAAACATACCGATTTCTAGCATATCTTCATTTTGTAGAATACTTTGTAGTCTGATATTTTCTATTTTTAGTACGTTTCCACAAAAATCTCTTACAGTCTGGGTACTGTGTACAGGCTAGTAAAGGAGGAAGGCCAAAATCAAGACCATTAAATTGTTGGGATTTTAGGAATAAAACATTAGATGAACGTTAGTTTTCTTGACCCTTCTCAACAATTTAATAGCGCTGTTTTAAGTGCATGTTTAGCATGGATTTTAATCAGCTTGGGGATGTTGAGCAGACTGCTGACTTAAAGATTGTTCTTCCAGATGAGGCAACTTACATTAAAGCTGTATTACTTTATTTGCTCTGTTTGAAACTTTGTTCTCTATATTTTTCCACTCTTCTGTCTTCTTTTTCCTTTGTCTCAAATGTTTTGCAGAATCTTGGCTTTGATATAGTCAAGATCTTGTTCAAGACTTGGCACTTGATCTTTTTATAAAGCTAGCATCCTGTTTTGTTAAAGTGTGAATCATGAATTTAAATGAAGAACTTGAAAAATTATTTGGTCTTGACTTGTGGGAGCCAGGGGTTGCATCATTATCTTTACATCTTAAACATAAATACCTAATTTAGTGCTAGGAAAAGGTTCAAGTTACAACAAAATAATCAGTAGTATAAAACTATGTGGTGTGAACCTTTAAAAATAAAAATAAACATTTAAGGATGATAGTATTAAAAATGGGTGTTTTGCCCTCATTATGTGTGTATGCACATGTGTGCAGTGCCTGTGTAGACAAGAAGAGGGCATCAGCCCCATCCCCCCAGAAATGGAGTTGTAGATAGCTATGAGCTACCTTGTGGGTGCTGGGAATTGAGCCTGGGTCCTTTGGAAGATCAGTAAGTGTTCTTAACCACTGAGTCAACTCTCTAGCTTAGAATATTTTATATGATGTTCGTTGCTTCTAACAGCCAATATAGAACTTTTGGGTTACTATTTGCTGGTATACTGTAAAAGAAGCTCAATGAAGACACACTGTCACAGACTAGAATTTCCCCCCAACTTCTAATTCAAATGCCCAGGTGCATTTTTGTTGACTTCTGACACTTGTGGGCTATTAATTTTATCTCTTATGTTTTTTGCACGTTTTTTCCCTCCTTTTTCTTTTTAAAGAAATATGCAATTTGAGCCTGGGAACTTTATCATTAATCTACTATAGAGCCCTTAATCCATTAGATGGTTCCTCTTTTAAACTATTACATGCCAGAATCAGGGTTGTCAAACATAGATGATCTGCCAGTTCTCATTTGTTATTTTAATAAAGTCACATTTGATAAGTAGTTAGGGTTATCTTTTTTCTTTATTTCTTTTAATTTATTATATGTAGTGTTCTGCCTGCGTGTATGCCTGCATGCCAGAAGAGGGTACCAGATCTCATTATAGAGATTGTGAGCCACCATGTAGTAGATAGGAATTGAACTCAGGACCTCTGGAAGAGCAGCCAGTGCTCTTAACCTCTGAGCAATCTCTCTGGTCCTGGGCTTCATATATATATATAATATTCAGGTCACCGCAGTAGTTTAGGTCTATTATTCCTGTCATCCTTAGTGGTGGGACCCAGCTCCAGAGTTGAGCTGTACAGCAGTCATTTTACATATCTTCTCAGTTAGTGAGGGCACTGGAAAAAAGGAATAATATTCACAGTGGTGTTAAGATAGATGCCATTGTGTATCTGGCTTTGGGCATCAGAATGTATCAAGTTATATATTCCCATGCATTTTAAACATAATTTTTTGGTATGTAATAATTTACTATACAAATGAAGACTGTGTGGAGTCGTTTATTTCCTTAGCCTGTACCCCTTTACAGGTTTAGACTTCAGTCCATGTATACTTGGAGCTGGCCTCTTGTATACCAGCCAATAGGTACTAGGTATGCAGAGGTTACTTTTTTTTTTTTAACCACTTCCATGGTGATCTTAGTCTATCTAGTACTTAGATAAAAGTGAAAAATCACAGTCTCATTCATTTACATAATTTATGCTCAAGTGTAGGTCAGAAGGTAAAATTTGGTAGATTTGGCACCACCTTTGAAGACTTCTGGTGATGTTGGAGTTGGGTGTTACAGGGTGAACTGCAGTATTTGCAGCTTCTTTAGGAAGGACAGTGGAAAGAAGCAGCAGCATGCACAGTGTTTTTAAGACAGGTGCCGTTTGTGTTCAGTGAAGCATCGTATTCTTTAGATATAGGAGTTCTTGAGTTCTGTAAGGTAATAAGCCAAGCAGGTATGCTAATGGTAGCATATTTAAAAGTAAGAAAATAAAAAGTGGAAGCATTGTATAGCTTCTGGTCCTAGCATAACCTACTGCTAAGGTTATTAATTAATAGCTCATTCTAAGAGTGAATCTTTAGCAACCATTATGTCAGTGGTTCACAAAATTCTGGTTTATGGGAGAGGGGGGGCTTTTTGGTTTTGTGTCCATTCCCAATCTAGAAGTTCAGTATTTGTTAAATTTGACTTATGTATTAAGGTAAATCAGAATAGAGTTTTTGCAGAAATGGTCATTTGTAAGTGAGAAATGGAATCTACTTTTTCTGCTTGTCATTAGTGCCTTCCCATTGAATCATACACTTCTCACATCTTTTTGTGTTGCCTGTCTTCCTTATTTAAAATTTTTGTTACTCTTAAGGCTAGTGTTACTTTTTTTCCGGTTACCTCTTGCATATTTTCAGTAGCTCTTGCCTTATTCTAGGAAATATCTTTATTCTGGTGGCATTTAAAAAAAAACTGAAAACTAATCTGTGACCAAATGTTAAATAGCCTCCTTTAATTAAGAGCTGGAGACTCATTTATGATTATGCTTACAGACTGTGCCAGTGGGGTGCAGTGTACATTTTGGTCCCTAACTTGTTGGAACTTAGGGAGATAGAGTTAAAATATTTACTGAGTGAATGAGCATAAGGTTGCAGCAGAAAGCTCTTTATCACATTGTAATTATTATGTTAACTCCTTTTTCCTTTCATAGCTCAGTTTTTGATTCCTTTTTTAAAAAAACACTATCTCCAAATTTAGTTATTACTTTCAGTGATTCTTTGCTAGTCTTCTAGGGAATTCTTTCTCTACCCAGTAGGAAATTGGTATGATATGACTAAAATATTTAATTTTGTCTTCAGACGATAAGAACAATTGGAACAGGCCTTAATTTCCACTTAGCAAGATATACATTTAAGCCTGATGAGCAACAAATATGTCTTCTTTCAGTAGGTACATTGTTTTGCATTCAAATGAATATTGTTTTGTTAGCAGGCTATGTAGTGTGGTTTTTTTCTTGGATAAGTAAAGCTATGAAAAATCAAAGTGACAAGTCTTGGTTGCATTATATATAATGCCATTTTTTTTTAAAGGAAATGCTTTATTTCTCAGGTTTTTATCCCTTCCTAGTTATTTCACCCTTTGCATGGTTTGCTTTCAGTAAAGTAGTGCTTCTCTGTCTGCCCTTTCCTGTCTGTCTCCATTTCTACAGCAGTCTTCAGCAGCTTTCAAAATTATCAGTGTGACTTGCCTGTGACAGTCTAAAAAAAAATGTTTGATCAGTGTGGTGCTGGGTGTTTTCCCCTCTTAGGGAAACTTGAATCTTCTCCTTTATTGTAAATTGCTTGGTACTTATTAAACCTTTGCTAGTCATTAACTACTTACAAGGTCTATTTAAATCTACTTGATAATGTTTGATTTGTCTGTAAATTCAGTGTCACATTTTTATGTTACTAGCCTAGTGACCACACCAAAAATACATATTTTAGTCTTCAAATGATAGAAATGCCTTTGATATGTAATACATAAAATACTATCCTTTGTCATGAATTCCCACCTCATAACTTCAAACTATGTGTCTATTGATGTTGTGTCTGTAGTTCCACATTCACATGAGAGAGTACTGAACTTTCATTTTTGCATGTACAAAGTATTTCTCTATGCTGTATCTGGTGTAAGTATAAAGGCAATGGTGTGCTTTTTTTAAAAAGTATTGTGCCTAATTATTGCTTTGAAAAATATGACCTAGCTATAAGTGAAAATATTACTGCTTAAAATGTCAAACTGATTTTTTTAAATAACTTTAGACATTTATCTATAATTTAGTATTTACTTTTAGGACTTCTGTAGCTTTGGACACAGTATTTTAATATTTTAATCAACACCTCTTTTAATCATAGTTTTATTTTTTAAAAGTAATTACAATAAGTGAATGAAATCCAAACACATTTTTAAAGTTGACTTTCCACATGAATGTTTCTTTACTGTTTCTCTAGTGCTGTCTTATGTACATTGAATTTAAGTTTAGGTACTGTGATTGTTAATTTTAAAAGTGTTATGTATTATTGACGAGTTGACAGGTAATAGAGGGAACTGAATCATTACTTGCCCTGGGCATAAAATAAAGATAAATTTTAAGATGTCTTTACGTTTAGTCTCATGTGTGAAGTTTTTCATTTTAATTTTCTAAGTAAAGGAACAAATAGATACAAAACCTAGTAACTAGTTTCATATTAGTGGTAAACAGTGTCTGACTTTGTCTTTTAAATTTGGACTGGTTCCCCCCTCCCACAAGTAATATGCTTTCCTGGAGGAATTCTGCCAGCATAGTTTACAGCATTGTCTTATGTGTTTTATTTGTAGGATTGAATGTGATCTAGCTGAAAAGGCTTTTGAAAAACTGCTTGAGCAGTTTTGTCTCAAAATAGAAAGGAACCTATTTAAAAGATTTGACCTTAGAGGAAACAAATGACCATGCTATAAAAATTGGATTTCTGTTACCTTTTGTCTGACAGAGAGAAATCCAGATTTTGTCACCTATCAACATATATTTTCTGGTTAGCACCACTGATGGTAAAGGTGCCCATATATTTGTATCCCTGGTATGATTTTTAGAACTAATTATTTTTTCGTTTTCTTCCTCCTCAGTCCTAGGTATGTAGAAAATCAGTATTTGATTTGGCATTTCAGAATTTGAATGCTGATCTTGTAGCTCAGGAGTTCTGTAGTGTTTTATAGAGTAAGCTCCTGTGCAGGAATCGTGACCTTCATACTCCTCAGCAGAGAAGGTCAGTGACACTGCAGCAGCCGGGGCCTGAGCACAGTGCCCGCTCTCAGTCTTCACGTGATCACAGTTGTTCAGATAGTTTCAAATGGTCCCTAGCAATCCCCAGTTGTTGAAAGTAAAATGATCTATATAGGAAAGTAAGGTAATGTTAGCCTTTAAACTGTAGACATTAGTAGGTAGACTTCCTTTCTACTGCATTAAAATAGAATAGTGGACATTCATTTGCTGTCATTAGTGACAGTGAGGCAGGCAGCACAAAAAATGATTATTAAGCATATCAGATGCTGGGCGTGCTCATGCATTTTTATAATCCAGCACTCGGATTGACACAGGAGATTTATAAGTCTGAGGGCAGCCTGGTATATATAAAAGCCAGTCTGTGCTGTATAGTAAGACTACATGCAAAAACCAAAACTATAAGTAATACCAGTTTAAATTTAAATTTGAATTCTCAGATTTTCTTATTGTACCAAGTTATAATCTGTAACTTAAACTAAATATTATGTAGTAACATTTGTTTTTCTCTTGCTTCTGTATAATTTGTATAAGTTTAAATTAGCTCAACTTTGTCTTCTAAAAAGTGCAAAATTAACATTGCATAAAATGTAACTCATCTTTGGAAATTTTGGTTGTTAATTGGGTTGTTACAGTTAATACATGTACTAAAGTATTCATGCCACTGTAAATTTTCTTGTACTTTGATGCTGTTTAGATGCCCAGCCCACAGAGTCTGAAAAGGAAATATATAATCAGGTGAATGTAGTATTAAAAGATGCAGAAGGCATCTTGGAGGACTTGCAGTCATACAGAGGAGCTGGCCACGAAATACGAGAGGTAAAGTTTACAATTATTACAGGTACTTTTCAGTAAAGGTAAATTGACTGGGTGTCACCTGGCTTACTCTTTATCATTTTCTGGACTTGTTTGTCATGGAAAGTATTATATTTGAAAAATCACTTGGCATTATTTCAAAAGTGGTTGCAGTGATCCATGGGCAGAGGGATATTATAAAAGGGAAGTGCTGCCTACCCGTATGTGATAGATAATAGCAACTCTGTTCGTTAAGGTCACACATGAAAATGTTTTCCCTTGGGAACTATTTATGCTTTCCTCTTGTAGAAGAGAATAGTCTAGTTTTCAACTCCTAAGCTTTCTAGGAGAAATTGAAAGTACCAAGATGATCTTGGGCTACATAGTAGGACCTTGAAATTGAAAATGCTAAAGAAATGTTTATTAGTGAGTTACTTAAGACACAGCCCATTTATTTACTTGCACTCAATGTATTCACAACATTTTAAAATCTAAGTTTATTTTTATTTTGCTTTCTTGATTTTTTTGTTTTTGTGTGGATATATTTAGTACTAGTGCCTTGGGGGAAACAAAACTTGTGACTTCTGGTGACCCTATAGGCAACCCCTGCTATAGTTACAGATATTTTTCTTTCAGGTAGTAAATTTGGGTTATTTAAAGTGTTAGAAAAGGCAATGGAAGTTGTTAGGAAAAAGTCACATTGAGTTTTGTAAAAGATTAAGGTAAAAGTCAGAAAATTCATTCTTGCAGGAGTACTCTCTCCTAAGAAGAAAATGCATGATGATTTGAAGGACTAGTGTTGACAGAGTTGTGTGTTTGGAGTCCCTCCCTAGTTCTGTTTTGGTTTCCTCCCCTTCAGAACTGAAGCTGCTTTGTCTGGAAGCCTTAGAAAACTTGTAATCCAGAAAAAGATCTTATTTCTAAACAATTAGTATTTGCAGTATTTCTAAATTGCATTTTTCAGGTTGATTCAGGTTCATATTGACCAGGTCTCTTAGAACTGGTGTGAACTGTGCAATTTGAGTTACAGCTTCTTGGCCCTTTCCCAGGATTGATGTCTTCATTTATTGTCTTAACTTTGTTCCTTCTTGAAGACATACCAAGAGTATCTCTGCAATAGAGGAAGTAGTATAAAATATTTTCCTTCTATGGATCTAAATGACACCAAGAAGTAATATGTTAACAAATAGTGTTTATTTTATTATAATATTATATTGCATCTATTGGGGTAAAAACTTTGGGAGTTGAGGAAGTCTAAACTCAATTCCTGGGTCTGTCATTATATCTATATTTTAAATATCAGGATCTCCTTCATTTGGTAAAACTTTGCCTTAATATAAGAAAGGCTGTTATGATTTTATAAATCTTAACTTTTTTGTTTCTTGGATTTTGAAGGCAATTCAGCATCCAGCAGATGAGAAGTTGCAAGAGAAGGCATGGGGTGCAGTTGTGCCACTAGTAGGCAAATTAAAGAAATTTTATGAATTTTCTCAGAGGCTAGGTAAGTTTAAAACCTTGTAATGTTTACTTTGTTATTAAAAATGTTAATATATAAAATGTATTTATTAGGTTCAGAAGATTTTGTGATCACAGTACTGAATTTGGCTGTGTATCTATTGTGTAGGTAAGGCAGGATGTATATGAGCACATGGTAATGTATTTCTAATGTCCTTAGCCCTAGATCTTTGAATTGTTTAGACCATTTTCCTCAGCAAGTTGTGATTTATAGAAGGAAATCTGATTGCTTTGCATGCTTAAAGGTCTCAGTATAAGAAACTACATGGATAAATTGGTCTCCATACCTATAGAAAATCCTTTCCCAGGTAATTCTAAAAACACAGATTAAACAATCCAGGAGTCTGATGACAGACTAATACGAGCCCTATCCCTCATATTAGGGTAGAACCTAAGGCCTGGTGTTTGGTAGGCAAGTGCTTGTCACTGTGTGATATCCTAACTCTTAGGATAAACATCTGATTAAAAAAAAGACAAGAATTGGAGAAATATTTGTATAGTAAATCTTTTTTTGAAACTATGTGTGTGCATGCACAATTGCACACGTGTGTTTGGAAGCCAAAGGTTGTTGGACTGACTTTCACTGATTACTTTTGCATCTTATTTTTTGAGACATGGTCGCTTACTGAACTAGAAGCTTATCCTTTAGGCTAAACTGGTTGGCTAGGAAACTCCAGGGATCAGCCTGTATCTACCCCAGCACTGGAGTTACAGGCATATCCCAGCCACCATGCTTGACTTTTCCATGGGATCTGAATATCTGAATCATTTTTGTGCACCAAATATTTCTTACTATAAGTTTTAGTTATAGTTTATTTTCCCAAGCATGATAATTAGTTATTTTGCCTTTTAGTTAGAGTATCTCTGTGATCTGTAGTTTTTGCATCCTCTGTAACCTTTGTCAGCTTAGGTCTTTTCATCTTAGTTATTTTGACTACTATATATTTAGACTCCTCCTTATGCTGTTAGTACTTAGCCTCCTTTGAAGTTGAGATGCTCACATTCTACTGCAGCTGTCTTGGTCTCTTGGTTTTGGACTTGATGGGAGTGGAAGAGTTATGTTTTCACTTTGTAAACCAGGCTAATCTTGAACTCATAGATAGCTGCCTGCTTTGCCTCCAGAGAATTGTGTGCCCCCTACCCTGCCCCCCACCCCCAAGCCCTCACTGTGGTCTCGGACCTGTGATTTTCCTGTTTCTACTTGCTAAGGCAAGCAAGCATGCCAGGTGTATGTGGAATTGAACCAGTGGCCTCATGCCTGCTAGGCAAGCACTATCAAAACTGAGTTATACCACCAGCCTGCTGTATTGATTAAAAAAAGATTAAAGATTGAAAATCTAAAGCATTTACAGTAATTGTGTTCCTATGTGCTGACCTTGTTATGTCTATGGCCCTCTTACTCACCAGTCGTATCCTTTGAGTTTTCTTCTGATAACTCAAGGTCTGGTGTTTGAGAATGGTAGGCTGTCTCTAAAAGGAAAACTCTTTGCAAGGCTTCCTCTTGTGGTCATATTGTCTCCTTCTTGCTCTAGCTGGATAGCTTTTCAAGCTAGATAATGACATCATCGGATTACCATGTTAAAGCCCTACCTTCTCTGCAGTGTAAAGACTGGAATGTGAGGTTATGTGTGCCTTACAAAGTACAAGAGTGGATGTGGAGTCAGTTTGGGGTGGGGGCATTAGGTTTTCCCTTTACTTTTCCACATGTATGTTACTATCACTAGACAGCAAAGTGTGGAAACCTTTAGAACAGAAGACAACCATGAAAATTTGCTGTGACAGAATGTTAAAGAAAAAAATTAGTATTTGTCCACATTTATTCGGGTTTCAGAGTTAACTTCAGGATGCTCAGGATGCTAGAGCTGCAGACAAGAGACACAGTGCTGTTCACTCTGTGCTCTTGGTGTATAGTTCAGGTTGATACTATGCATCATTTTGAATCTGAGTTTGTTGAGTTAGTTCTTATAAGGTTTTCATTAAACTGTAGTAGACAGTTTGAGTGTATGCAGTATTATCGATGACAAGGTGTAGATTTGTCTTGGTTATAGAAGGAGAAAGGAGAGTGTGTTTGTATCTGAATGTTGGTTGGGAATTGAACTCCCTGATAACTTAACATCTTTATTTTCTTTTCATTAGAAGCAGCATTAAGAGGCCTTCTGGGAGCCTTGACTAGTACGCCATACTCCCCCACCCAGCATCTAGAGCGAGAGCAGGCTCTTGCTAAACAGTTTGCAGAGATTCTTCACTTCACACTCCGGTTTGATGAACTCAAGGTAGTGCAGTTTTTATGGTTTTCAGTGAGAAGTAGTGGGAGAAGCCTTGTTAACTTGTGTTTATGTGATCTGCCAATTGGAGAGCTAGATAGTAGCAGCTCTTGGCGTCCAACAAAGTGTCCAGGATCCAGGAGACGTTGTTCTTCTAAAGAACAGCAAGGAATCCCAGCTGCGTCTCTGATGGTTTCTTTTAGTCTGGTTTACCTTTTTATTTTTTAATATAAAACTTAATTTTCTTTTCTCCCTTCCCTGCCACTTTTCCCCTTCACTCTTGTCCTCTCCCTCTTTGTAGGATTTATACCCATAAATCCCATGTTGCTATACAGGGCAAATCTTAAAAACAGCACTGAATTTTTTGCCTGGAGCCCTGAGTTCAAATTATGAGACCTTTGGTTATTCAAGACCTTCAGTACCTTTTCTAGAAAATGGAAGAGTTATGTTTCCAACTGTGTTATTTCATATTATATTATAAACAACTGTTAATTCTCTACTATTAATACTTTGGACACAAAGGACTTGTATGTAAATATTTAGTCTGTTGGAGAAATGCCCTGTATTATTCAAAACAAGCACCCTTACATTCACTTTTTTCTTTGCAGTATCAATATTTTTGATAATCAGGCATTTAAGATATTACCTAAGATTATTGAAAAGGAAGAATGCATAATGCCTACAATTAAAAAAATAGTCTGTGATTAGCAAAAAAATAGTTTTATGGTTAGCAAGAATGGTGCTGTGTGTGGTGGCATACACCTTTAGTCTCAGCACTTGGGGAGTCAGAGGCCTGAAGGACTCTGTTAATCAAGGTCAGCATGGAATACCTACTACCTACTAAGACCTTGTCTCAAAGGGAAAAAAATACATTGAAGAATTCAGTAAATACTTCACACTTTCTTGAGTATACCAGATAGTTGTTAAAATTATATAGGAATGCTAAGCTACCACTTCACTTAGTTTCCATTAGCATTTAGTATATAACAGTTGTCTTTCATTCATAAGAGTGTTCTTTCATACATGTCCTCCCTCTTTAGATGACAAATCCTGCCATACAGAATGACTTCAGCTACTATAGAAGAACGTTGAGTCGAATGAGAATAAATAATGTCCCGGTAAGATTATGCTTTGAATTAGGTTTAGTGGCAGTAAGAATAACCTGATTTTATTCTTCCCTTTGTTTCATTCATCCATTCACCAGATGGTTGTTTTTTTGTTTGAGTGTTTGAGTTAAGGTCTCTACATAGCAATGGCTGTCCTAGAACCCACTGAAATCCACCAGCCTCTGCCTCCCAAGTGGTGCCACCATGCCTGCCTTATTCAGATTGTTAAAGCTTGTATTAAAGCTAGTAATCATCAGTAACCATAGCTGTGAGGGAAGAGCTACTGCCTTTTAATTTCCACAACCACTTTAGTAAATTGTGTTTTCTTTTATAACAATGATACTTTAAATCTCTTTGTATTCTTATTAGCCAAAAAGAAATTTTTGCATGGATGTTTATGGTTAGAAGAATGAATCCTGAGGAAGATTGATACGAAATGAGGAAACTAACTGCCAGTTGCAAGAGGGGTACTTGAGATCATGGGCCATTATTAGCACATCTGCTTCCTACTGATGAGAAAGTCGTTTCTGAGCCTTTGCCTTGGCAGCATAGTTCCTCTCTTAGGCTACTAATCTCCCTTTCCTCCTAAACTGTTTAGTACTTTTTTCTACTTTCAATGAATTACACATGAAGAAAATACTGCATCATATTTAGGGGGCCCATATTGTGGTAATTTGTGTATTTATTGATACTGCAAAATTTCTATGAAGTGGTTATTGTAAAATGGGCACTAGGCCAGCACTAAAGGGTTTCTCTGTTCTTTACAGCAGTTGGAATTTATACAGACTGCCTAGTGAGAAGTAGATCACAGTGTCTGTTTTTAATAACCACCCTGTAAATCAAAACAGCACTCAGTCTTTCACCTTCTTAACTATCACTACTCAAGAGGCCATGGACAGTGGAGAGATCTTCAGCTGGCTTACACTCTCAATAATTAGGTACAAAGCCAGTAGTTCTTGGTGTGATCTCTCAGAGTCTTGCCCATCTTGCTTTTTTACTCCTCCTTTTTCTCTTCACTTCATAACTCATCTCCCTCTCTCTTTCAGTTACTTTGTAGCAATATAATTTGAGGGGGGGAGGGGTTGGAGGCAGGATTTCTCTGTAGCTTTTGGATCCTATCTTGGAACTAGCTCTTGTAGACCAGGCTGGCCTCGAACTCACAGAGATCTGCCTGCCTCTGCTTCCCAAGTGCTGGGGTTAAAGGCGTGTGCCACCACTGCCCGGCTAGCAGCATAATTTCTTTTATGACCTTTTGGAACTGTCTGCCTACTATTGTGGGTTAATTTTTAAAGAAATTCACTTGCTACTCCTTTTTTTACTTGAAATGGCTTCCTATTTCTAAGGAAAATGCTAATTTAAAGTAGCATTTAAGGTCCTACACAGTCCCTGCTTCTACTTTAATTTCCACTAGTTGCTGCCTTCTATTACACTGAATATATCAGAATGTGCTCTAAGTCAATTAAAAATGTATTTTCCCTCTGCCAATAGAAATATCTTGTGTGTATACAATGTGTGTATATATATGTGCATATATGTCTACGTACACACACACACACACACACACACACACACACATTATCACTTGTAAAAGCCCAAGTCTTCATTAGTCCTCCCCTTTTTCTTCTGGTCTGAGGTCTCTTCACTTCGGCTGCTGTCCATTTTTATCATGGTATTGTGTGGGTCCTTTTATGTTTGTAGTGAAACATAGGATATAATTTCACAACTATCCTTTTGTCTTCAAGAGTCTTTGAACAGTCTCTTGTGTAGTAAGGTGTCACATCCAGTTTTTACAATTCCGTAATAGCACTTAATGTACTTTCGTGGGTAGTAGTTCTTTTTAAAAAATTGCTTAATATTGTTTGCAGTCTATTTATTTGGAGGAGTATTTAAGTAGCACTTGCATATGAAGGTCTGAACTTAGATTTAAAGGTATTTATTAGATTGGTTTAATAAAGTAGATATTCTTGGACCTTTTATGTATGTCCATCACATTTAATAATTTGGGAATTAATGTCAAGTTATTTCCACACAGGCAGAAGGAGAAAATGAAGTAAATAATGAATTGGCAAATCGAATGTCTTTGTTTTATGCTGAGGCCACCCCAATGCTGAAAACCTTAAGTGATGCAACAACAAAATTTGTATCAGAGGTGAGTTGCTGCAGACCTTTCTGTGCATTGATGCTGCTCCACTCACTGCAGATGCGATGACCTCAGCAGTGCTGTGATCCAAATACCATCCTTAGACTGGCACCTATGAGACCTGCTTGGGCACAGCTGCCCACTTGGTTGCAGTCACTCTGGAGGTACTTTGAGCATTGCCACGATGACATTGCCTTTTCTAACCCTCCCCTTTCTCCAGTCTTTCTCAGTTAATAACGGCACTGGTACAAGTCAGAGTCTCAGGGATGACAATTTTAAGTTCCTTTTTGCACTGCTTTCATCTGTCCCACAGATCACTCTGCTGGCTCCTTAACCCTGCTGCATACCAGATCCAACTGCCACCCTCTTACCCACTCTTGTCTGTGTTCTTATTCCACTCTAGTCCTTTTTCTTCTGTTTAAAGTGTTTTCCATGGCCTGGAGAGATGGCCTGCCATCAAGCCTGATGATTTGAATTTGTTTCCTGGACTTGAATAGTAGGAGAGAAAAGACTAGCACGGTTCCTCTTGACCTCCACACATGCACATGTGGGTATACCCACATACCATGAATAAAATTAATGAAATAAATCAAACTTCGCTGTACCTTCAGATTAAATTCTATATCTTAGCTGAGGGCAGCAGGGTCTTGGCTGTATTGTGCATGGCTCTATCCCTTGATCATGGAACAGTGATTAGAATCCTAGTCATTGGCTTAGGAAATTAGAAACAGGAGCCAGATCATTTGCTTGTTTGGGGGATTCTTTTAATTTTTAAATCACTAAATGAAAAGTTTTTTACCTTTACTTATTTCTTTTGTTCTCTATACACTTTATAGAATAAAAATTTACCAATAGAAAATACCACAGATTGTTTAAGCACCATGGCAAGTGTATGCAGAGTCATGCTGGAAACACCGTGAGTATTAGCTGATTTTTTTCACTTTAGCAACACTGATGAAGTGACTGGTATTTCACAACACGTCCAAATACAAACATTTCTGTGTGGAAGAAATGAGTTTTATCCTAACCTTCAAATGTTGAATGAGTGTACAAAGTTAAAATGAACTGGAAGTTTAGTGAATTTCTTTTTGAAACATAGATTAGGACTCTGGGTACCACAATAAGTTTATTCTTGTCAGAACTGAATATCCTGATTTTGGGTTGGGGCAGGGAAGTGTCCCTTTCAGAGGACTGTAATTATATTCTCTTTTCCACATGTTCAAAGACTAAATCAGTTTGTCCTTGTTCCCTCACAAATCTGCATTACCTGGAAGCATTTGTGATACATATAATTTTCCTATCAGCACCAGAAAGAATGTGTCTTGGATTCTTGAATAAGATATGGTTTTTACTAGAGAACTTTGGGTTTTGCAGCACTCATTCCCAAAGTGCACTTCCTTATCCTGTGTTAGTGATGGACTCATGGAGCAGGAGGACAAACACCTCCCACACTTCCCCCTGTGTAAGGGAATGGGGTCCAGGAAATGTAGGGGTACATTGTACCTACCGACCCCCTGCTGGATCACAGTGTTCCCATTCTGGGTCTGGTCTCCTGCTACCTTTTTTCTAAATTAGAGAATATGCTTGAATCCTGTAATAGTGTGTTTAAATCAAGATACTCATAAAATAGCAAACTTACGTGCTCCATTGAGCTAGTGACTTAAGCACCCAGCCCCGAACTCTTACTTTACGGCTACTTTGGCTTTCTCTAAAATTGTAGAAGAGGTAATATAATTCCCTGGTGGTGCAAATGTGGGGACCACAATATGTGGATGGAAAGTGTTTACCACATCTGTTTCCTCTCACTTGTGGAGAAGGGGTAATACTGATGTTCTTCAGAGATTAGTCAGGATTGTGTGCAGGTATAATCAGTTCATTGTACAGTTTATGATGTGCCTCATCCATACAACTTCTGCCCTCCAGGGAATACAGAAGCAGATTTACCAATGAAGAGACAGTATCATTCTGCTTGAGGGTAATGGTGGGTGTCATAATACTCTATGACCACGTCCATCCAGTGGGAGCATTTGCCAAAACTTCCAAAATTGATGTAAGTTGCATATTGTTTGATATGACTGCAAACTGTTTTCATGCACGGAAATGATAAGGTTTTATTTAAAGAGTAGCAGGCTGGACTGACAGTCTCTAACCATAGTTTGAGATACAGTTGGAATTCCTTCTCCACTGTCCTGTATTTCTGGTTGCTAGTTAATATGCAGGTGTGTTAGATGATTGAATGATAATGTTACTGATAGGTGATTGAATGATAATTTTTAGTATTTTGGTCATATCTCTAGTAATTACATATATTTTCTAATCATATCCTCTGGCCAATAACCAAAGATAAGGTTTATTTTGAAATGTATATTAAAAATCAGCATTGATACCTTTTTAAGAAAACTAGAAGATTCTGTGGTTTTCTTTCCTTTTCCCATTCATCGTAGTTTGTGACTGGTTTCTACTTTCCATATCTGCCTGGAAGTTTCTATTAAAAATGAAATGTTTTTCTCATTTCTCTACCTATAGTTTTTCTGGTCACTCTTGAGCATCAACATTCTAACTAGGTTTGGTGGGGATTATCTCATAGTCCCCCCTTTTATTACTTCTTCAAGCTCTTAGCACTTTAGATTTGAATTATGGATTGCTAGCTTTTATATGCATCTGTTTTATATAAAGAAAAATGAGTTAGCATTAGTTACTTGTGTGGTAACTATGTCCCAGAATTTACATGTGCCTCTGAACATTGTTCTAGGATTTCCCCCTCACTCAAGCAGCTTCACTGTAGGAGATTAAGTAATAGAATTGCTAGGAAGTGGTAGAACGAGGCTAAATCCACATCTCTTCTTTCCAATCTTTGTGGCCATGCTTGTCAGGATAATCAGACTGATCTTGAAATACCTATCATCTTTATTGAGTTTGTCTCCCTATGAGTAGCCTGTAGAAGTCCCTGCTGATTTCCTGTCAGTTAGTCCTACCTGAATCATCTGGATTCTCTAGCTCCCTTCTCAACGCTGCAGGATTCCTGTCTGTCCTTGGCTTGTCACAGGCTACCTGAAAAACTCCTCTTTCCTGGGGGCAAATCCATTATTTCTTGCAATTACTGTATAGTGTCTTTTTCAGGCTGTCCTCCCTCAGTTCATCAGTCTGAGTAGAACCTCATTTTTACTGATTGCATTTTCAGAAAGCTTTGCCTCACTGAGAGATTGAAAATAAAAGCATTTGCTGCTGCTCCCACCACCAAGATTGAATAATTCTACATTTGTAGTATATGGTCTCTTCAGTTCTGATGTGGGATTCCCCTCTGTATGCTATGAATGTGTTTTATTCCATTGGTTAATAAAGAAACTGTTTTGGCCAATAGCTTAGCAGAGTAAAGGCAGGTGGGAAATTCGAACAGAGGTATAGAGAAAGAAGGCAGAGTCAGGGAGACGTCATGTAGCTGCCCAAGAAGCAAGAGGTAACAAACCATGAGCCTTGTGGTAAAATATAAAATGGATTAATTTCAGATTAAAGAGCTAGTTAGAAATACGCCAGCGTCATCAGTCAAACAATGATGTAACTAATGTAGTTTCTATGTTATTCAGGTCTGAGTGGCCAGGAAACAAACATGCAGTCTTTGGTTATACATTTCTATAGGTTTTTTTTTAATGAATGTTATATTAAGAAACAGATATTTACTTTTTCTTTTCTCCTCAGATGAAAGGTTGTATCAAAGTTCTTAAGGACCAACCTCCTAATAGTGTAGAAGGTCTTCTCAATGCTCTCAGGTATGTATATGAACTTAAGCATGACAGAAAAATGTGTGTTAAATGTTTGAATACCATCTAAAGATATGTCAGTAGTGTTTAAGCTGGAAGTTTTGCTTATTGTTAATGTTGCTTCTGAATAGTGGTACAATATTGTATAATGAGGGCTGTGTGTAGTAGACAAATGAGAAACCAGCTTCATTTCTTGGCTCAAAATTTTGCTTTGCTGTTTGCCCCTTTGAAGCAGGATTGCTTTTTCTAACTTTCATGTATGCTGATTTACAAACATTGGGAAATTTAAAGAAAAAAACATGTGATCTTACCATGTGCTTGTAACTTTCTAGTTGGCTTTTTCTTATGCATGTAGAGGTAATAACTCAATATAATTGTTAGCCTGTTGATACAGCAATATAACGTTCTATGAGAGTTCCTTTCCTCTTAAGTAGCTTAGTGGCATTTCTGTGTCCATGGTACCTTGGTATCTTTGTTCTGAGGAATCATTATTGATTTAGTTACTGAAACTTCTGTGCTGTATGACATCTTTGTAAGTGGACATTTTAGTGCACAGAATCAGCTTAAACATAATTTCACAACCTAGAAACTAATTTTCTATACTTTAGTATGTGAGGCTTAGGCAAAAAATAGTATGAACTCAGAAATATTTGTGTAGTGATGTTTATATCAGAAAGCAAATGTCAACTCATTTTGGCTGAGAGAAACCTTTATAGATTTTATTATGGAAAGTGCCTATAAGCAGTTTCTGCCTGAATACAGGAGAGCTACTTTAAATGAATATTAGAATGAAATTTTTAGTTTAATTGAAATCTAGTTTAATTAAATCTATATACTATAAGGCTACACACCTGGTGTTAAGATTTTTTTTCTTAGTTTTGTAACACAAACTACATTTTAATTTTAGCTATGTAGGACATGGGACCTCTTTACTTCCTCCCTGTATAGTGTCTGTGTCTCGTTCAGCTTGATTTTTTTTTTATCTTCTAATCTGTTTTTCCTAAAGGGTCTGTCAGTTGCTTCAGTCAACTGGTGTCAGGAAATCTGTATGAAATATATTGTTAAAACTTAGGAATAAATAGTTGGTCACGGTGGTCCATACCTTTAGATCCCAGAGTCCAGCTACCTCACAAAACAAAAACAAACATAGAGGTAGAGAAGGCTGAGGGTTTTAGTGCTTGTTTTGTTACCTTAAAGGAAGCATGCTAAAAGGTTAGCTAGGTACCGCAGTGTGTTTTTGCTTTTAGAACTTACGGGTGGTGATTAGTGCAGCCCCTTTTCCTTCTTGTCAGAGCAGAAGGGGTGGTAGTGTTGAGTACAAGACTGAAGTGCAGTATACGGCAGGACTCAGTGCTGAGGACAGCAAAGTGTCCCACTAGTTTAAGTTGTAAAGAAAACTTGTGAACTGATTGGTTCATAGTAAACAAAGTTCTGTGTATGGCTCTCAAGGTTTTGGGGGTTTTTTGGTTTTGGTTTTTTTTTTTTTTTGTAATCTGGGGGTTTATATATGAGTCATTGTTCTTAGATGCTTCATAGAAGGGACTTGGGTCATTTCATGTCACCACATATTTCCAACATGGTCTTGACTGTCAGCCTTCTTCTCACCAGAGCTGTGGGTGGTATGGGGGTTGTGGGCACTTGCTACATCTGCATTTTTATCACATGAACTGTGCAGGTGGTCTAGGTTCTGAGGAACCAGAAATGATGCAGTTTCATTCTTCAAATTGAATGTGCTGTATGATACTCCAGTCTTTGGTCACTATGTGCTGAACTTGGGTATACTTCAGAGTAAATGATTGCAGAACATCCAGATTTCCAGGTTCCTCCCCTAGAGTCCCTTTCCTCAGATTTCAACTTGGATCTGCATTGAGACTCGGGTTCTCTTTATTTTAAATAAATACCCTAGTAAATACTTTTTAAAACACTGCTGAAACTACGCTTTCTCATAGCAACCAAAAACAAACAAACAGAAACTTTCTGCAAAATTAATAAAAATATTTTGAATACAATTATAATTGTGCATATACTTTGAAATATTTATGTAGTGCCTCCAACTTATAGTATGCAAAAAGAGAAAGCAATGAGTCGTGCACTTTTTTTTTTTTTTTTTTGAGAACTGGAACCAAATCTTTTTAGTCATGAGAAGGAGCTAGAGTTGTAAATTCAGGTTTAGTGCTAATACTACTTGTTTCTTTACTGAACTTGAGGGTAAAGGTAGCCACTGTTTTCTAGTAGAGAAGCTATGTGCACTTAAAGTAGGACTTGGACTTTTTGTGCAAATGAAAATAAATCCATATATCTCGTATGTTTTTCTCTACACAATCAGTGCTGTTGCATTTGTAATTAAGAATGCTGATGTAGCACCTCTGGTCTGGCCTTCCAGGGCAGGTATAAGAATACCTGGTCTGCCAAAAGCACAGCCACATCCCTCAGACACAGTTCCAGGGAATGTAAGCATTGCTAACTATTATATGGTATAGACTTAACTATTCCTGTTCTTTAGCTATTTTTAGTAAAGGAGCAGGGAAAAAAAGCCATGTAGATGGATGGCATTTACTTCTTGATATTGAGTGGGTAATGTATGGCCATATATGCTTTGTCGATCTAAATAGAACAAAGCAGTTAAATCTTTGTCCTATTACTGCCATTTCACTAAATATTCTTCCATGGGAACAATTCTCAAGCTGTGGATCGTGACCCCTTTGGCAAACCTCTATCTCCAAAAATATTTTTATTCATAACACTAGCAAGATTACATTTATAAAGTAGAAACAAAGATAATTTTATGGTTGGGGGTTGCCACAACATAAGGAACCGTATTTAAGGGTCATAATGTTAGAAAGGTGAGAACCACTGCTCTGTGGACTTTTCTTTCCAGCCTCATAGCCTTTCTTCCCTCCACCCATCATGAATGGGGCACTCCAATGTCTTGTCATGAGAACAGTTTGGAAGATGACTGCTGAGGAATAGAGTGTAGTTCATAGCGGATGTGTGAGAAACATGTCAATCTTTTCACCTTTAACAAAGACGTTAGATAGCATCTTCACTTTTAAAGAGTGTTTGGAGCAAACTTAGCATAATCTTTAACATAGATTATATACCTACTTAAAGTGATCTAGTCTTTGAAAATTATGTGAAATGCTTGTAAGCCAAGTTAACCTGTTTGAATTATCTTCTGAATACATTCATTCCTCACTGAAGCATTGTAAACCTGTGTGTCTGATGCTGCTAATCAGGTCCAAATTCTAGACATCTCCTTTACTCCTCAGTAGCAGTTCCTCAGGTGAACATCCTGTAGCTCCTCCAGCACTCGCTCAGCATCACGTCACTCCTTCAAGGCATTTGTTACACTTGCCCTCCAGATCCTGCACTCTGGTTTCTTTCCTATGCCCTCCTGAGCTGTTTCTCACTCGCAGCCTTTCTTATGCTCTGCTCCCAGGCCTTCTGTAAGATTAGTGCCTGGTTTTCCTCAGATGGTAACTCCTGGAAGACTCTGTAGACTTGCTGACTGGTGGTTTATTATTTACAGGAATAAGTAGCTACTCTTGGGAGTATTTTAATTTTACTAATTTTGTAGTTAATTATTATTTTGGATTTACATCCTGGTAAGTTCAAAATGCACTTACCAGGAAATAAAGTACTTAGAGAATGTAGATATTTTAGGGCACTTTTGGTTTTTCAAGACAGGGTTTCTCTGTACACCTAGTTGTGCAGGAACTTACTCTGTAGACCACGCTGGCCTCAAAGTCAGAGATCCACCTGCCTCTGCCTCCTGAGTGCTGGGATTAAAGGTGTGCGCCACCACTGCCTGGCAGGACACTGTTTTTATACAATGTAGAGTGAAACTGTAAGGGGGCCAGAGTGTGAGTAAATATTTTAAACTTTGAAAACTGTTTTCTAGAGTAGCTACTTAAATCTTCCACTGTGCCAGTAAGGTAACCTCAGATAATACATGCATTAATCAACTTGGTATTTTCCAGTGAAACTTTTTAAAGTATGTTTTTATTTGACAATTTCATACATGTATTCAGTGTATTTGGTTATGACTATTCCTCCTTCTTCCATGTGTGAACAGTAAAATTTCAGTTTTATATGCAAACACCAAGTATTGCCTATGTTTTGTTCATTGATTTTTCTACCTCAGTGATCCAAAATCTAAAAAAAGTGTATGTACTTAACTCACATGCCATACAAAATTAGGTGGTGGAATGCATTTGGTTCAGGGACCATAATTTGCCAACACCTGGGATAGAGCTGTAACTTTATCCATGAGCGGTAGCTAATTGTTTACTTCAGAAGTTTGCTTCAGCTGATCATTTCAGCAAGGTGCTTATAGCTAAGTGACCAGCAACAGGCTGCTTATTGGGTGGGGGAGAGAAGCAGAGTGAGGCTGATGAGGATTCATAGATTGCCTTCCTAAGGTGTGAGTTTGTGAGATTGGTTGCCTAGCTGCTCGTCTTGCCATGTTACAAAGCCCATCCCGATATCCATGCCCTAACCTAACACTGATGACTGTTTCTCACAGGTACACAACGAAACATTTGAATGATGAGACTACCTCCAAGCAGATTAGGTCCATGCTGCAGTGAGAGCTGTGGAGCGAGCCCTGCTGCAGATGGAGCAGTCTTCTTCAGTGACTGAGAATGCAGTCTCTAGTGATTGCCATTAAATCTCCTCACTCTTGCTTCGGTTTCTTTCCTCTGTTCCTCTCCCCACTTTTTTAATCATGTTCTTGTTCTTAAGACTTCTTTTCTGTGCCAAAATCAGTAAAGTTATACTTTGAAAGGGATTTTGTCCTTTCAAAACAGGCCATCTAAGGCAGCTAATTATGCATTGCATTGAGGTCTCTACTGAGAAAAGTTCTGTGACTTGAACTAAATATTTTTAAATGTGGATTTTTTTTGAAAACTAATATTTAATATTGCTTCTCCTGCATGGCAAAACTGCCTATTCTGCTATTTAAAACCCTCATGAATTTATTTTCTACTGCCGCTTTTTCATGTCCAGCCAAAATGTTTAAATTAACTGTGTTGTACAAATGGTACCCAACACAAACCTTTTTTAAATTAGTAAGACTTTTGTTGAAAGTTTTAAGTTTGCATTTTGACTTTTTTTTTGTAAGGATGTATGTTGTGTGTTTAACCTTTATTAACTAACGTTAAAAACTGTGATGTGTGCGTAGAACATTACGTATGCATGTTCATGTTTAAGAATGGCTGTTGATAAAATAAAAATCAGCTTCCTTTTTCTAAGTGTGGCTTGATTTACTGAGATTTCTGGAAGTTCTCCCTGTATATATTTCTGTGGAATGCATAGACACATTACATAATTTTTCTTTCTCTTAGGGGATAGCTATGTCTTTTTCAGTTGTATTTTCCTTTACTTTTGTCTATGTACATAACTTTAACTGCTTTTAAAACTGTTGTATATAAGATGACCAGTGATTGTGTCATTAACTTGACTTTTGTTTTGATTTAATCTTGTGTGAGTGTAGTTGTAGAAGGAAAACCACACTTTCTCAGCTCTCAGTTTCAGGAGTGGAAGGGCAGCAGCAAGAAGCACAGGGTGTTTCGGAAGCAGGATGAGCCTTGACATTAGAGGACAGTGAGCAATAAGAATACTTCCCAGAGGAAACGAAAGACTCCATCTCACTAGTGCTAGAAAGCTACTGTGGGTTTCAGTTTAAAACCCTCACACCCGAGTTGTCACATCTATCGTGCTTGAGAGAGAGGCTGCCTGAAGGTTGTCTGATTGTCCTGGCAGGGCTTTATGACAAGGTGATGTGAGGTGTGGTACAGTTAAAGTGGTTGACCATGGAAGAGGATCACAGGCTTCTCTTGGGGTCTCCGTCAGAGCACACAGCACTTGGTGGTAAAGTTCCTGTTGACTTCTCTGGCTTCCGGCTCACTCCTATCCCTCTTCATACCCTGTTCTCCAGCCAAGCGTAACTACTTGCTGTTTACAGATTGTTCCACGTGGTGTTGCTTCGTGACTCTGGTCTGGCACAGCCTGAATCTGATCTCCCTTTTCTTCATGACTAGCTAACCAACACCAGCTTTCATCTTTTAGAAGTCAGCTTCTATTACTTCCTCCTGAACATCGTTTGGATGATCCTGGCCATGTTTTCTAGGAATCCTTTAACAGTATTATAATGGGTTTAATAGTGCACTTTGCAATCGGTAATGTCTGTCTGGAACCTGAACATATGGCCTTATTTGGAAGAAGGGCATTTTCAGGTGAATGTAAGGACCTGTGGATGACGTCAGCCTACATTAAGGTAGACCCTAACTCCATTGACAAGCCCTTGTAAGAGAAAGGAAGGGGAAACAAGACACAGTAGAAATCCTGGGAGGAGAGAGGCAAAGGCGAACACACATCATGATGCCTTGAAATTCTGAGCTACAGAAGCTAGAAGAACATCATGGAACAGTTTTCATCAGAGCCTCCAGGAGGAACCAACCCTGTTGGCTGTTTTTATTTCAGACTTCTATCTTCTATCATGGTGAAAAAATAAATTTCTATTCTAAGCCACCTAGTTTGTGGTAATTTGTTACAGACAATGAAAGCACTGAATACAACTATCACAAAAACAAGCCTAGTACTTCACGCTTTGAGATCCTTTTACTCTTGAGAAATTACAGTATTGAGATGCTGTGAAGACTGAGAATGTGAGAGAAGAGCCATGTCATATTCCTCCAGGGTCCCAAGGATCTTGCACAGTACCTAAATATGGATAGCTACCAAGTTAGTGCTTGAATGAAGCAAATGAGTACAAATAAATGAAATAAATGTAGTGATACTGCTGTGGCCTTTCCAGGTAACATGGTTCACGCCCTGCATGTTGAAGATTAAGTGGGCTAAAAAACTTTTAACTTTAGCCTAGGGGTCAGTAGCCCAGGCTCTGGGCCAATCCACCTTCTTCTGTACCTACACAGCCTGTGAATTAAGAATGATTTTTAAAAGGTTGGGGAAATAAAGGATAACAAATGTTTTTTTAAAAGTTGAAAAAATATTTTGTAGCATGAGAAAGTATATGAAATTCAAACTCCAGTGTTCATAAATAAAATTTTATTGAACATAGCCTCTTCATTTGTATATATATGTATATTATTTATGGCTGTTTTGCTCATTGTAGCAGCAGAATTGTGGCAAAGATCGTATGGCCATCAGAGGCTAAAGTATGTACTGGTCCCATACAGAGTTTGCCAGTCCATGCTTTGATTAGAAGAAAGAGCAGGTTTATCTGACAGCCTCAAATAATAAGACACACCTCTGCAGTGTGACGGAGGGGCTGCCTCTGATGGTGTTGGCATGTGCTGCTCAGGAAACTTCCTTCAGAGTCAAGAATTCTGGGGCTGGGCATAGCACAGACCAAGCAAAGGGTCTGCTTGTCCATTGGACAGAGGTTGGCCCTGCTCTGCTGGAGGTAAATCTAACCCTGAAACTTGCCACCTTTTGCCCCTTGTGGTTTTCTAAAGTATGTCTCTATCAGCAAATGCATCAGCCTGGTTTTGGCCCCTGTGTCTCTGGTTTGAAACAGTAGGGTAAGCTATGATGTCATCTCTTCTACCAATGCACACCCATGGCTCTCTTTCTCCACTATCCTTTTCTTCAGTGCATGTCATGTGTCTGGCGTTTTCAACCTCTGTTCCACTTTACAAAGATTTAGATTAGCATTCTGGATCTCTTAAGGTTACTGCAGATATTTTAGACTTATAAGGATAACTGGCATCTATTGTATTCAAATTTAAGATTTTGAGTTGAAATACTTCTTGAGTTTGAAATGATTGTAGTAACTGCCATGCCAGAAATTCTTAAAGGAAAACCCATCAACAAAGTAAGAATGGAAGACAAGTGGATTCAGAGCCCTGACACCCAAGCGACAGCACTGTGCAGGAGCTCTTCCTCATCAGTAGAGAGGGGTAATTGACTGATCCCCATACCACCAGGATGTCTCATGTCCAGGCAGCAAGACATTAATAATACGATAAGTTAAAACAAAGTTTAGTCAGTGAGCTTGAGTATAGTCAGCTTCCTTCTTTAACTTGGTGTGACTTCACTTAAATATTCTGTCCCCAAACAGGAAACACTGGTATGTCTTTAGAGAGGGCCTCAATAAACCAGGTAGTCAATGCCTGGGACATTTGCAGGCAAGGGGTGCTCAGTATTAGTATTTTGACCATCATAGCTTTACAACTCCTGGTTTGCTGTGTAGTAATATAGGTTTTCCATTCTAGAGAACATGACTGGTTCTCCGTGCTTGGTGAAGGTGCTAGACCTTTATAATTTGAATAAACTGATAATCTTGTAGTGGCTAGATGGAAATATTCTGTGTGATAGCAGTTTTCTGAATAGCAGGTAACTGGCCTGTACATTTGAGACTAAAACAATTTTCAGAGATTTTTAATTATGTGTCTTTGTGCACACATACAAGTGTGGGTGCCCGAGGAAGCCTAAATATGTCATTGGGTCTCCTAGAACTGGAGTTATATGTAGTTATGAACTAACTGCCGAGCATAGGTCCTCTGTAAGAACAGTATGTGCTCGTCACCGGTAAGCTCTCCTTCCAGATCTCTTAAAAAAAACAATTTTTAAAAATTTAACATTTTGCAGTGCTTGGGGTGTGGAGCCCAGGATCATTCACAGGCCAAGTAAGTACTCTACCACTGAGCTACTTGCCCAGTCCCTGCAAATGCATTTAAATGGCAAGCTCCGGTGAGTGAGATGTTGCTTCAGGGAGTGTGTTGACAGACCATCTTTAGTGAATAGGTAGCCACAGCCTGTGTATTAGGATGACAATGATAATGAGTTTCCTCCATGTAGAGGGAGGGCATTCTAGGCTGAACTGAGGAAGTCTCAAGAGTGTTAGCACACATTGTCTGTATCTCTTCTGATTGTCTATTTACACAAAATACTAGTATCTATTACCCACGGTGGTGGAGAAATAGTATAGCTTTTTGTAAGTCAAGTGGGCTTGGGCCACCTGTAGCTGCCTGTGTGTCCTTAGAAACACTTTAAGTCTCTGAAACTGTCGTATCCTTGACCATAAGTAGCATGATGTTCATGAGTATCTCATGAGTTGGTGCTACAGTAGAGTTAGTATTTCTGTTACATAGCCTCCTGAGGCGCACACCATACCAAGGTGCAAGTCTTCACACCTGAAAGTCAAGTCACTAACTGGAGAAGTGGTGTTGTATCTGAATGTTTTGCCTGCCTGGAAGTGCACCATGTGCATGCCGTACTCCCAGATGAGGGCATCAGATCCCATGAAACTACAGTTACAGGCGATTGAGAGCTACCGTGTGGGTGCTGGGAACTGAACCCAGGTTCTCTGCAAGAGAACCTTAGAACTCTGCCAGTGCTCTTAGTTACAGAGCCGTCTGCATAGTCCAGTTGAGGATTCTGAGACCTTTAAAGTGTTCTGATCTTCTGAGATAACCCCACCCTCTAGTCCCTACTAGAGAAGCCGAGATGTTCGATCAGTTTTCTTGACAGGTGCCGGCCCAGGGGTTATTCATCTCCCCAAAGGCTATGTCTTTCTGTTACCAGCTTCTGGCAAACTGTTATCCAGCACAGTTAAGGAAGTGATGTGAGAGTCTTTCCCAGTACTTCCTCTTCCCTAAGAACTTGTCTGCACTGCAGTCTTCCCAGAGCTTTGACATCAGTTCGTTAGGATCTATGTTTCTATCTGTGGACAATGCCAAGAGCTGTGGGAAAGCTCAAGACCATTGAGAGGGTAGTTTGCAACTTCAGAGTTAACAGGGATGGGGCTCATTAAAGAAGGTATCTTGTGAGCCAGAACAGGAAGAAGAGAACTTCAGCAGTGAAGGAACCTGGGGAAGGCAGCCAACAGCAGAGAACAGAGGAGCAGTGGGTCTAAAGCTGAGGGGAGAGGGAGGTGCAGCCAAATGAACAGAGCCAAACAGAAAGCCTTTGAGGCCATTTGAGACTGACTGCCCCTACAGCTTCAGAAGGCTCAGCGGAAGAAAATGGTATCTGTTTGAAAGACTTCATTCCAGATATCCCAGGAAGAGATTGAGGAAACAGAAGCAGGGGCCAGTTAGGCAGTGGATAGCATCAAGGCAGAAACTCATGGATGGCGAGTTGGCAACCGGTGTGTGAGAAATAACCAAGTTTAGGATGTGATTTGAAGGTGGTAGCTTCCTCAGTACACTGGCAGGGAGGGACAGCGTGGAGAATAAATAGCTTTCGACCTGAATGCCTGGAAGTAGAAAATAGGTTGGGGAAGTTACTATATTCAGCAGGGACATGAGAGGGCCCAGGGAGAAGCAGGAGGCAAACAGAAAGGACATGCGGATGGATAGTCCAGGTAAATGAGTCACTATAGTACAGTTTCTAGCCCCTTCCTACTCTGATCTGTGACTTCCCTGACATCCTCCAGATCTATTAAGTCTCTCTTTTTCTCTCCCTCTCTCTTACACACACACAAACAGGGTGGGAACCTCTCATTGGCAAATGTAGGTTTTATCAGAAACAGTCTATCACAGAAGAAACCCACATCTAGGGAGATGCTGAGAGAGACCCAGCCATTGCACAATTAAGACTAGAAAGAGCCTCATCTATCAGGGAAGGGTCCAGTTACTTTTTATTTAATTTTCTTTTTTTGTTGAAGACTCCTCTCTTGATTATTGCATGCTCCAACAGGTGCAGTTGGCTGGCACCTGAGCAGTGTAACCCATTTATCATGTTATAGTGGCAGGGCAGGGGGGTGTTTAGGAAAGCTGCAGAAAAATGCAAGGCAGGACAGCCTGTCTGTGTTACTCTGCATAATGTCTTCCCTGTGTGGCCTCGTTTACTTTGCACCATACAATAGCAGCACTCTTGTAAGCATGTCATGTGTAATTTTGAAAGTTCTCACTGCCATCTTGTGCTTGAGGAATTATCACAAATCATTTACAGTGACTGATTTCACCTGAGCACAGAGGGGGACTGTGCTGTCTAAGCTACACAGCTGGGAGTAGTAGCCAAGCAGGGTACAGAGCCAAACTCTTCTGCAGCTAGCCCAGGTGGTCCTAGCCTTCTTTGTTCTGAATGGGTGTTTCTGATGCCTGAAACCAGTCCTGAGTGGAGCCTGGCCTGGTGGAAGCCTACCATCAGCTGTGACCACAGGAGGTCAGTGACATGGGCTGCCAGGAGTCTGGTTGGATGTGACCCTAGGGACATATCAGTGTTCCCTCTGGAAGCACTGTCGTAGAAAGCCCAGGGCTTAGGTCAGCCAGTAGCTGCAGCCCTGTGAGGCACCCATAGAGAGCAGAGAGCTGAGGCATCACTGTGGGGTCCCAGGTGAGCTGGCAGCTGGGCTGCTCCAGCTGCAGCCCACAGCTCTGCACCAGGCTTATAATGAGGACCACATCCTCACTCTTCAGAGCACAGAGGACTCCTGCTGGGAGAGGACAGGTCGTTTCCTCCATCTGATTCCAGTTGTGTTCCAGGATGGTCGCCACCTGCAATAAACTACTCAGAAGGAACACAGGGACCGCCTAGGCTTTGGGTGATGTGCCTCTGCTCCCTGTCCACAACCAAGCTGTGGCCTTGGGCACAAGCTGTGGCACAGTTATGTATTTGGTTCTGGAGATCACACAGCCCTATTTCTACTACTGTACACACTCCCATTGACTGCTGCTGCATACAGGAAAGCATCCCTAGCATGCCCCAGAATTACTATTCTGCCAGGCTGCCCACTTCTCTAGCTTATGGACTTCAAGAGTTGTCTCCACGAGAAAGTGCCTCTCTGAGCTCATCCTAATGCCATCCAACATCAACAGGAGGAAGTAGCTGGGTGGGATATCCTCCTTCCCTTCACATTTTTGGGCTTGACAGAGAACATAAATGATACGGATATGTAGAGCATTTCAGGATGCAGGAGAAACTGGGATCCCCAGCAAGAGGTTGCCTAGAGTTGGAGGCTGCAAGGCCAGACCCAGAGTCTGCTCCTGAGTAGGGGCTGCACAAATGAACTGCAGACAGGCTCTCGAGGAATGAAGGTCAGATCTTCCTTTAGCGCATCTCCATCTGCTTCCCACATCTCTCCCTGCACCTCTGGGAATCCCATCACCACCTTTGAGGCTCTCACCAGTTCCAGTTCCTCAGCTAGGATTCTTCTTTCTATGGACTGGGCCAACAGGCAATGCTGGGGTTCATTCAGTGCTGCAAGAAATAGAGAGGAGGTTACCAGGTAGAAGAGGTTCCAGGTGCTCTGTATTGTCTGCACTCTGATAGAGGAAGGGCTGCACCTCGGGGCGTTCTTGGGTGAGGAGAAGCTCTGCTAATTCTGGCACCACTGGAGCCATCTTTCCCAAGAGAATCTAAAAGGTAAAAACTGTCACCCTGGAACAGTCTATCAAGGACTGGCAATGGACGTCTGACACAAAGGGTTTTCACGTGTTCAGGCTGTTCCACTAATTGACCTTGAACAACGGCGGTGAACTAGGGTCTGGCAAGACTTGGCCAAGGCTACTCCTATTATTAGTGCAGACCTAGGGCCAGAAACTCAGATCAGGAAGCCCATACTCGAGCCGCCCAAGCTTTGGCATGAGGTCCTCACTCTTGTTCACCCTTTAGGATATCCTGTTGATCCCTGAGCCCCTTACCTGCTAGGGCTCCAAGAATGTAGAGGATAGCCCTGCCTCTTGAGCACAACAGGTTTCCTACAGGGTCTTGGAGGATGCTTAAGACAAAGCCCCCAGGGCCTTCCAGCTGTGTCAGCAAGCCAGTGTCCAGAGTCTCTTCCAACTGCAGGGCAAGGGTATGAAGAAGAGGCCCCTGGTTGTGCATTCAGTGTCCCTGCCCATTCAAGAAGTCATTCCTGCCTCTGGGTATAAGAACTTGGTTTGGACTTGAGCATGGCTGAACCAGTTTCCTCCTAACTGGGTGGGCCAATGGGAGTCTAGGCTTCAGTGTCTGGTGTAGTAGCTGGCACTAAGGCATGCCAGTCTATACATGACCTACCTCACATTCCCAGCAGTGTGCATGAGAGCCCCAAGGAATCCCTGTCAGCCACCACGCTCTGTTCCTGCCCCTTTTGCCTGTTCTCTGTCTATCTCCCTGGATCTGGGGACTTTGCCAAGCCTGGCCCATGGGTCCATCAGCCCATCACCGTGTCTTCCAGCTCCTGGAGTGCCCGGCAGTCTTGTAGCAGCTCCTGGAGGGTACCCAGCAATGTGGCCCGTAGCTCTGAGGACAATGTGGCCAGGTCCTGCAACTGGCCATCCGCTTCGTCCTGCAAGCTCTGGAAGTTGGACTCCTTCTCTGAGTCCGGGCTGATGGCTATGCCTGTAAAAATCAGGTGGTCAGTCACCTAGTCTTGTGCACAGTTGCCTGTTCAGGGTCCTTTTGCTCCCAGCCTTCCCAGGAGATCCAATGTCCCAGGAGTGGCCTTGTGCGGCTCCCTCACACAAAAGTACATATGTGCTATGTGTATTCGACTCATTCTCTCCTCTGCACCTTCACTAGACATTTGCAGGGTGTTTTGTTCCCCACATCAGGCAGTCACAGGTCTTAGCCCGCCTTCCTGTCACCTTACCACCTTCCTATTATTTCTTCCCCCTTCACAATGCTTAGAATGAAATCTGACCTAGCTTTCTCTTCCAGGGCTTCTAGGCCTCTCTGATTGTGGGAAGTCAACCTGGGTGACTCGGGTCCTCTGTATGCTGTGAATATGTTTTATTACCAGTGGTTAATAAAGAAACTGCTTTGGCTTATGGCAGTGCAGAATGTAGCAAGAGAGGAAATACAAGCAGAGATAGAGGAGGAAAGAAGGTGGAGTCAGCGAGATGCCATGTAGCTGCCGAAGGAGAAAGGTGCCAGAACCTTACCTAGTAAGCCACAGCCTTGTTGTGATACAACAGATTAATAGAAATGGGCTAATTTAATGACTCAAGAAATATACTTGAGTCATCGACCAAACAGTGCTGTAATTAATATAGTTTCTATGTGATTATTCAGGCCTGGGTGGCAGGGGAATGAAAGTGCAGTCTGTTTACACCCAGCCTCTGAGGTTCTGGCTCTGATCCTCTATGCTGGAGAGAAAACTGACATCCTCCGTGTGCAGGAGAGGGAACCAGGAAATTGGGACAGTTAGGAGTCTCCAACGGGGCAATTCTGCCACTCATTCCTCTTGGCAGTTCTGGTTCACTTTACGTTATCAGGTAGAGTCACCCACAGAGACCTAGGGTCACCACATAGCACTGGGAAGGGGCCACAGAACCATGCCAGGGGAATCACTCACCTCTCCCGGTGTCCCTGCAGAGCTTTCTTTCAGGGAAGTAAAGGACAGCTGCATGTGGCAGAGCAGGGAAAATACAAACAAACCCAAAGAAGCAGGATATGGTCAGGGAGGTTGCATTTCCCAGAAGGACGGCAGGGGTGGGACTCTGCAGGGTTTACCACATGGCATTCTAAAGCAACCCAAGCCCTACTAGAGAGTGACAGGGGCATGGCCAGGGCCACAGGTGACAATTCTTGGCTCCAGAACTCATGCTTTTCCCTTCCATGGGGTCAAAGGAGCCGTCTCCATTTGCCTTCTTCTCCCCATCCAAGGCCATGCCTAGAGATCCGGGGGCTGGATTGAGTGCCCAGAGCTGGTGCCATCTAGGCAGTTTCTAGATGTGTCTCTGGTTTAGGACAAGGATGGGGGCAGCAAGACCCACTGTGTCTCAGTTTCTAACTACAGACATGCAGTGAGGCTTGGTTCCAATTAGGTAACAAAGGCTCTTCCCTGGTAGAGTTCAACCCCATGCCAAGGCAAGCAGGGCCAGGCTGGGTTTAAGCCTCCTCAACATCTGACCTCAGTAGGCTTCTACAAAAATCAAGTCTTTTTAGGTGGTCTGACCAGCACACTGCTCAGGCAATGGGGAGCCCTGGGACTTCCTTCCCCCCTATTGCTCCTCCCTGCTCCCTGGTATTTGACTGCTGGCAGGGGCTGGGTGGGGTAGAGAGCGCGATGAATAGGCTTACCCCAGCCGTCTTCCTCCAGCACCAGCTGCAGAACCCTGTAAGCCAGTATACTGCCCTGTGGGATGCTCACCACTTTCTCTGTGTCCATGTGGCTCTGAACCTGGACCTGTGAGAGAGGCAGGGAGAAAAGGACACCAGCTCCTTGGCCTCCAGAAGTTTCAAGAATGGGTATTGGAGACAGATGGGAAGACTATCAGAGTCTTGATGACAAGATTCCTGGAGGGTGGGCAATGGGTGGCCAGACAGACCCTTAGTGGAGGCAAGAACACAAACTATGCTTGCATAAAAGATATTTCCAGAAGATAACTCAAGACATTCTGGACTTAAACAATGCACCTGGCTTGGTAAAGTTTTAAGAAGCCACGCAACAAAGACACCAGTGTGTTTTGTCCCCTTAAACATGTTACACTGTCTTTGGGACATTCACTTGGAAAATGCTGAGGTATAGGCACTGGGGCATAACTAGTCCGTCTAGATTCCACGTGGACACCAAGTCCCTTTCTCCCATTTTCCACATGAAAACCAAGGCTTAGAGAGGAAGGCTTGAAGGGAAGGCATTGGTCCTGGAAGCTGGACTTCCGTGATGTCCCATTGGCACAGCCATATCTGCCTATTCCCACAGGAAAGAGCTACTTACAAGCCATAGTAATAAAACTCATCCATCTTCAACAGGCAACATGGTTGTCCTGGATATAGGCTACCACCTTGCAGCAAGATGTGGCCACATAGCCAGAAGGTATGGCTGACAGAACAAACACAGAGTGGTATGTGCAAGTTGTGGGGAGTATTGCTTCCCTCGCCCCTGTTCTGTAGTCTGGGATGGATGTGATAACTGTAGAGACCATAGCCATGTTGACACATGAAGTGAGAACCATACACAGGGGTGACAGAATTGAAAAATAGGAAGACCAGATCCCTGAAAACTGCAGTCTACTGTTGGAGCTCTTTGGCTCCTGTCTGGACTCTTGTGCAAGGGGAAAATGCTTTTCTTCTTTTGAGTCAATATTATTTGTTAATCTTCTCTCCATTGCCAGTAGATTGTCACATCTGCTGGGGAACGAGCGGGCAGAATGCCAGCCATCTCCATTTGCAGACGGTGCTGCTGTTCAGCTGACTCCACCAAATGTGTGTTGAACACACAGATCATACTTGAACCTGGACCGCAGTACTTACTGGCAGTATGGTCCTCAGCAAGGGACTTCGCTGTGCTCTGGTTTCCTCAGATAAAGAAGCTGACACAGTAGACATACCTTCTGGAATCATCCAGCTGAATGGATAAGGCCTGCTGAATGGCAACAGGCAATACTCCATCATGAAAGAGAGGGGTTTTCCTTAAAAGTGGGCCCTACCTGTCAGCATTTGCATTTGTGGACATGCCGAGGGATCAGCTACCTTTGCCTCTGCAGTTAATATGTAGGAGACAGCCCCAGAGACCTAGCATGCTTGTGTGAAGCCAGCCTTTCTGTGTGATGGTAAGAGTGGCTGAAATAAATGGCCTAAGAATAGAAGTTTGTAACCAGATGTGTAAATCCTCTACTGTGAAGGACACACACAGGGATCATCTGGAAAAACTCAAACTAAACCAGAGATTGTGCGGTATTTCAGCCACATGATGACTTGAGGAGAGGCCCATGCTGCTTCTACATCTGTAACAGCAGGTACCTGGAAAGTGAGATCACCTGGAAAGTAGGTACCTGGAAAGTGAGATTGGCAGTGTACTAAGACCCTGATTCAAAACAGAAGGAAAGAGGAGATATTGAGGGAAGGGCAGGAGAAACCTCAGCAAACCAGAGCTGAGACCGTGTCAACTTCCAAGGGCTGCATTCCCCTTCAGGGCAAGAAGGCTTCCAGGCCTTCTTGAGGCCAATGATATTCAGTATTCTAAACTCTCTGCCCACCAGTACATTGCACACCTGAACGTTTCCCAGCTGTAGGAGGGACAGCTGCCCGGCTCCTAGCATTTGGCCCTGGCTCTGAAGTATGGCCTCTTGCAGCGTCTCCACAACCTCCGTCACCACGTACAGGCTCTCCCTCTCCTTCCGGCTCTGTAGTTCCTGGAGGAAGGAGGGCCTAGGCGACCTCAGTTTCCTGGAGGATGTGGGAGGCGGAGAAGATCAGAGATGTGAGGGGTACCTATCTGTCCAGTTGGGGAGTCCAAGGCCTTTCCTACCTTGGTGCTGTTTGCACTGATCTCAGCCGCTTGTGGAAATAATGTGCGGGCCTTGTGGGGGGTGGCGGTGAGTGGGTGAGAGGACTGCTTGCCTAAAGTGAGCGTGGGTGGCCCCAAAGGGGAAACTGAGGGAAGCTTGGAACAGTCCTCTTCAAGGTTACAGATACCCACAGAGACCAAAATGAGGTTTAAAGTTTGGGAGATAATATTAAAATTGATGAAAAAGACCCAGATTACTTAACCTGGGAAACCTGGCAGCAACGGTATAGCCCCCAATCTCACGCAGGTGTCTCCAGTTTCCCATAATCCCCATCGCCTTACACTCCTATAGTTCTGTTTCCTTTCCTGGCCCCGGATGTATGTGGCCTGAAACTTCTGAGCCTTCTCATGGGCCTAGGGCTCACTCCCAGGGTAGGCTCCTGCACCCTAGCCTACTGTGCCATACGACTTGTCAGGCCACAGGCTGGCAGCACCCTGGGCTTCTTCCTCACACCTGTGCCCATTAACCCTGGCTGGGAGGCCATCTGCCAACGAACCTTCCCCAGCTCTTACCTCTTCTCAAGCAGCATCTCCCAGGTACAAGGAGAAACCCAGAGTGTCCGTACCGCCAGGGCAGAGATGCAGATGGAACTGCTGCTTCCCGTCACCTGGCCCTGCAACCCAGCGCTCAGGCTCACAGCCCCTGTTAGCCCTCCTGCTGCCTTCTCCCAGATGCTGATGGGACTGCTGTGATCCACCTCTAGAGAGAAAGAAGCCCAAGCTACAGGTGCCTGGCCAGGGAAGGAGACAGGTTGCAGGGTGGCCCAAGGTGCAGTGACCTCAGTCGGGTCTCAAAATTGCTGCTAGGGCTTCTGCATTGCATGTGCCAGGCGGAAGGCACCGAGCTCTTGGAGCCTCAGTTTCCCCATCTGTCTGCTGGGAAGAAAGAGCATCATGGGTTCTTCCGAGGGGGATTTAAGGATTAACAGTAGATTTACTAGTGTGGTCTTTGGCATCGGAAGCCTGGACTCTATGGTAGCCTTTATAGTAGACTGGGGGTCTGTTGGGGCTGGAGAGATGGCTCAGCAGTGAGAATACTTGACTCCAGAGGACCTGATTCGGTTCCCAGCACCCATGTTGGCCTGCTCACAGTCATTTGTTGCTCCAGAGGGATCTACACCCTCTTTTGGCCTCTGAAGGCACCTACACTCATGTGATACAAACACACACACACACACACACACAGAGAGAGAGAGAGAAAATAAATTTTAAATAAAATAAAATAATTGTTCTAAAATGTGTGTGTGTGTGTGTGTGTGTGTGTGTGTGGTGTGCACACATACATGGCATGGAAATAGATAGGAAGAGATATAAAGGCAGAAGGGGATCATGGGAGTAAGGGAACCTCTGTGACATGACAGCAGAAGGAGCACTGTCTGGGAGGAAGAGAACCAGCGAGAGGGGGGAATGGTTGGGGAAAGGGTCACAAACACAGACAAATTAACATACGTGTGTGAAATGGCTTGATGGGTGCTCGGGACACAGGCTTGACAACCCGGCTTTGATCCTGGGACCCACGTGGTGGTAGGAGAGAACGGACCCCTGCAAGTTGCCCTCTGACTTGCACACGGGTGCTGTGGACACATATGCCCACCACACGACACCCGCTAGTAAATAAGTATAGAAAAAAAGCTGTTAAAAAGAAAATGCCATAACAAAACCCACTGACAAAAGAACACTAACTTAAAAAAATGAATAAAAACAGGGCTGGAGAGATGGCTCAGCGGTTAAGAGCATTGCTTGCTCTTCCAGAGGTCCTGAGTTCAATTCCCAGCAACCACGTAGTGGCTCACAACCATCTGTAATGAGATCTGGTGCCCTCTTCTGGCCTGCAGACATACACACAGACAGAATATTGTATACATAATAAATAAATAAATAAATATTTTAAAAAATGAATAAAAACAAATAATGATTGACTCATTTCCCAGGGAGGAACACGGGAAGAAATGAGCCTTTCTCTCATACATACGTCCACAGTGACATGGTTATGGGGGTCACACTTCTGCCAGCCTCCCCCAGGGGTCTTTGGGCACCAGGGTAGAGACCTGTTTATCTTTCTCCGCACATTCATCGGCCTCCCTTGGGACTCCCACTCTGCTCTGCAGCAGCCTCCTCACAGGATATACCTGGGTCAGGGCAGCCAGGCTCCAGAATGTCCAGGAGGGAGAAGTCTGTGGGGATGAGGGGCGTGTCCCACGGCCAGAGGTAACGCTTGTGCTTCTTCCTCAACAGACAGAAGGGGCGCAGGCGAGGCGATCTGCTCAGGCTGTCCACAGGCACCAGCTCGCCCTTCCTGCCCAGCTCTCTCACCAGGTTCTTCGTGGTCCTCAAGAACAAGGATGACATTGCTCCTTGAGAAGCAAGGGACATCATCATCCGGGGCTCAGTGCCAGCTGCCAACGGGAAACAGAGGAGCGCAGCCTGGAATCCCAGGCTGGCTGCCTGAGTTACACCCCCGCTAGGGCTGGCTTTCCACACCCTTCAGGTTACCCCGGTGGACACTACTGGAGTCTGAGAAGTTCAGGGCCATAGGCTCACTTCTCTGGGTTACAGGGCTGGTTTTTTGGGGGCTGGGGGGTGGAATGCTACTGAATCCCTCTATGCCTTGTAATGAGGCGGTTCAGTCACATTTCGAAAATGCCTCCTCCAATGCATCTCTGTGAGGACCAAGTTAACTGTAAAGACCTTCAGCAACTAGCCTAGGTCCACAGACTGTAGCTCTTTGCATTCTGGCCCCGCTTTCTTTCCCAGAGGCAGTGGGGACCCAGGTTTGGGCAACAGAGGGAGGGGCTGGCTTGAGAAGGGAGCAGGAATTCTATTTGCCTTCACTGTGCGTGTACAGCTTCCGGTGCGGAAGGATCCAGGTTGAGGGTCGGTTTCCTCTCTGAACTCCAGCGGCGACTGATCATCTTTCTCTGCACTTGGTGTTGAAGTCAGCGCCTCCCTGCTGTGGGCTCCGGGATCCACCGGTTTGTAGCATTTGTGCAGGGTGTCGGTTTTAGGATGAGCCTTGGGCTGCAGGTAGGGAAGAGAAAATGAATTAGGGCAGCTGGGAGCTGGCGAAGAGAGCTTTGCATACAGCCCTGGTGACCGCAGGAGGTGCCAGGCCCACGTCCTCTTTGGGGCAGTGCTTAGACACGCACAGTTATGTTAGGGATTCTGAAAAGTGTCTGAATTTGTTTTAAAATAGGAAGAAGGGAAATAGAACCTTTTAAGCGTCTGTATGTTAGGTGTTTCGTTTTTCGAGACAGGGTTTCTCTGTGTAGTCCAGGCTTGCCTGGAATTCACTTTTTAGAGCAGGCTAGCCTTGCCTTTGGAAATCAGCCTGAATCTGCCTCCCTGAATGCTGGGGTTAAAGGTGTACATCACCACTATCTGGCAAGATATTAGTATTTCTTTACCACAGAGTATTAAATGGTAATTTTTAATATTTCTGTGGCTGCACAGTCTCAGTAAGGTGAAAAATGGCTGGGTCCTCCATCGTCACGTTCCTGGGACCCAGAAGAAAGAGGAGGAGTGGAATCTGAACCCCTAGCGCAGGACAATGGCGACACTCTGCAAGGAAGCAGGCCATGTAGCCTAAGGGTCAAGGGTCAGCCCAAGTCAGGGTTCAGAGGGAGGAGGCAGGCTGAACCAGTATCCAAGGCCATAGGGGCCAGGAAATTAGGCCAGGGAGGAACCAAAGGCAGTGGGACAAGGCCCTCAGCCTGCGCACCTCGGGCAGCCAGAGTGCTGGTAGGTGCCACCCGTCTGACCTCCCACCGGATACCGAGGTCACTGCGCCTGCGCAATTCAGCCCTGGGCGCGTGGGACTCCTTAGGACCTTGGGCCAAGGGATTCCAATTCTGCCACTGCTGTATCCAAAAAGTCCTTTCTGGTTAACTGGACAGTTCAACTCCTTCTGAGTGAGGTAATGCTTCAGCTCGCCTTCCTAGTCACACACACCCCTTGCTCCAGTTCTCTCTTCTCCAGGTGGCAACGCCCAGCATCTCAACCTATGGCTTTTCCTCCATCCTGATCCACGTGGTGACTCATGGGTATTGAAAAACTCTCCACTCCTTCCTGCTTCCCCCATCCAACTGTGGGGTGAGGGGACACGTTAACACTACCCGCTTAGCCTTTACCCTTCATATGGGCACCAAGCACATGTCTGCCTCTAAGCCTGGAACCAGCCATTGCTCCTCCTACCCTGAATGCTTCCACCTACAGTTCCTCTTTGACAGACCAGATCAATGCAGGCGTTGAAGTCTCAGCCCTTCTAAAATGTCAAGTCCGTTTCTACCCCTCCTGATCTTGCTGACTTGTATCCATTTCTTATAGCACCCCACAGCTGTCTCAAACCGGAGTTACATTTTCTCTCTCTCTCTCTCTCTCTCTCTCTCTCTCTCTCTCTCTCTCTCTCTCTCTCTCCCTCCCTCCCTTCCTCCCCTTCTCTCTCCCCTTCCCCCCTTTAAAAAGCTAAAAAGCTAATCTGTGTTCACAGAATTACAAACTGCTTCTCTAGTCTGCCAAAGAGCCTTCAGCCACACCTTCCTCACTTACCCTTCTCACTCTGGGAGCCACACCTGAAGACTGAGACACAAAGCTCCCCTCCCCCGCCCACCAGCAGGCTTCCTCCACTCCTGCGAAGCAGCTCTCAGCCAAAGGTGCTGGGGTGGGCAGGGAAGGGTAGGGAGATAACTGATCAAACTGGCTTTCAGCTGCACCTTCCCTTTACAGGAAAACTCTTACTTAACAAATGTCTATGCTGCCTGCAGGGATCTGGGTGTCACTATTTTGCTTCTCTCAGAGGTTGGTTAAATGTACTCATGTGATTTCCATGTGTGGTCATTTTATGTATATGGATGCAGTTATTTGTTTTCTGTGCTCATAAATGTTATTTGTGCCCATGTGAAAAAAAATTTTTTTTCAAAAGTAGCTAGTCCACCAAGGCCCAATATTCCGTAACCACTCCACCTTCTTAAACCTTATGCAAAGCAATGAAAATATTTTAGTCTTTCTCATTGTGGTGGTTTGAAAGAAAATGACCCCAAAGGGAGTGGCACTATTAGGAGGTGTGGCCTTGTTGAAGTAGGTGTGGCCTTGTGGGAGGAAGTGTGTCACTGTGGGGGTGGCTTTGAGGTCTCCTATGCTCAAGCTACGCCTGGTGTCACAGTTCACTTCCTGTTGCTTCTGGATCAGGACGTAGATCTTTCAGCTCTTTTCTCCAGCACCGTGTCTGCCTGTGAACTGCCATGTCCTGCTGTGAAGATCATGAACTAAACCTGTGAAACTGTAGGCTACACCCAATTAAATGTTCTCCTTTATAAGAGTTGCTGCGGTCATGGTGTCTCTTCACAGCAAAGGAAGACACTTAACTAAGACACTCATCTTGTAAAACTTTTATCAATTCTCATTTTCAGTTCAGCCGACCCTGTCACAGTTTGACTTCATCTGTTTGGGTCCCCTGGTGTCCTACTGAGCTCCAGCTGTCAACTTGATACAGCCCGGAGGTCCCTGAGGCTGTGTCAGTTGGGGATGACCAAGATCAGGTTGGCCTGCGACCATTTCTGAGAGATATTCTCTTCACTGATAATTGAAATGGAAGGGCCCAGCGACTGTGGGAGGCACCATTCTTACACAGGTGGACTTGGACTATAGAAGAAATGCAACTGAACACGGAGGAATGAGCAAGCATGAATAATCATCATTTCTCTAGGGTTCTTACCTCCAAGTTTTTGGCTGGAGTGCCTTGCTGACTTCTTCAAAGATGAAATGTGACCTAGGAATCTGAGCTGAAATAAAGCCTTTCGTCCCCAATTTACTTTTGGTCATGGTGCTTATCACAGCAACAGAAAACAAACTAGGGTCCTTCAGTTACCTCCATTACCCAAAAGCCAGCAACAGTAGAGGTCCCCAAATTTTCTTTTGATTTTTACATTTAAATTTTCTTGAGAATTTTTGTATGTCAGTACTCACTCCCTCTTCCTGCTGGAACTCCTCCGTGTTCAGTACTCCCTGTCAAATTCATGAACCCTTCTTTCATTATTGTTGCATACATGCCCACATATGTATACATGACTATAGTCTGCTGAGTTCATTTCGTGTTGCGTGTTCGTGTATGCTGAAGACTGACCACTTGGAATTTGATAACCTATTAGGGGTTTGTCCCTGTAGAAGACTGATGATCCTCTCAGCCCCATCTGTTGTCTGTAGTTTTCCACGCGTGGTTAGGGCCTTTTCCCCATCCGCACTGGAATGCCAACTTGTGTTGTCAGCGTGTAGGTCTTGTTTAGGTGAGTTTAGTTTTGAGATTTCATGAGTACAGCTCCCAGTCCTATCTTGAAGACACAATCTCGCAGCAGCCCTTCCTTCTCTTTGGCTCTTAGAATTTTTCCATTGCTTCTTCCACAAAGTTCCCTGACCTTCAGGTGTGGGGCTAAGTTTATAGACATATCAACTGTGGGTGGGTCTCCCATGGTCAATAATTCTCTGCATTTTGACCAGTTGTAGATTTCTATGATTGTCCCTGTCTTAGTCAGTATTCTATTCTTGTGAAGAGACACCATGGTCGAGGCAATTCTTATAAAAGAGAGGATGTAATTGGGGCTTGCTTACAGTGTCAGAGGATTAGTCCATTATGATCATGGCGGGATACATTTTGGTATGCAGGCAGCCCTGGGGCTAGACAAATAAATGTGAGTTTTACATCAGAACACACAGGCAGCAGATAAAGAAAGAGAGAGGGAAACTGGGCCTGGTGTAGGCTTTTGAAACTTCAAAGTCCACCCCAGTTACACACCTCTTCCAAAATGATACACCCACCCCACAAGGTCACACTCCTAATCTTTCCCAGTTTATCAGCCAGGGACTAAGCATGTGACTCTATGAGCCCATAGGGACCGCGCTCATCCAAAACCATGCAGATTGTGCTGAAGAAAGAGGTTTCTTTTAGGAGGATGAGAGCTACAATCAGTTGGGAGTGAAAGAATAAGGATTCAGAATGTGGTTAGGAATCTTTCTGGTTTAGGAGAATGGCGGTTGTAGGTTTCTCTTTAGGGTCCTTGTCCTCATCAGCCATGGGGAGTTGTTTATTGTAACAGGCATAAATTCCCTACTATGGAGAAGATATTAAGTCCATTTAGAAGGTTGTTAGTTGTCCCAAAGATATAAATGCTACTAATGTATCCTTGAACATATCTCGCCCTGATGATGGTTATTGACGATTGTAGGTTTTACAGCTGGGTGGGGCTAATGATGTTTTCCTCTGTTGGTGACCTAACACCTTTACATGTGATGAGAGAGACTCCACAGGAGATAGCTCCCAGGTCAGTTCCAGCTCAGTTACTCCAAGTTCTGTATCTGAAAACTGTGGTGTCTTCAACAACAGCATCTTCTCTTCAACTCTAGAGGGCAAGCAAGGGAGCATCTTGGCCCCAGTTTCAGTAGGAAGCAGGCAGATTGACTCAAATGTCTGCCTCCTAGGTGGTTTTAGGCTCTCATTTGTTGGTATGATAATGTTAGGTAGATATTAGGTAATAAGTAGATATTAGCACGCTTGGAGGCCATTGAGAAGGGTCCCCTTCCTCATCAATTTTGCTTACGTTCTCTGACAACATGCTTGGGTTTTATATGCATTTTCCTTCTGCCATATGACCGCTTACTGGGTTCTATTGATGAATACACCTGCTTTCTTAGACCCAAACTTAAAAGGTATGAGACTCCACCCTTTTAAACTGTCTACCTGTTTTGTATCCCAGATACTAAACTCTTTTATTGAGGACACCACCCAAACGACAGCTGACAGTATTCTTCTCCAAATTTCTGATACCAGAAACTGTTCTAAGGTCTCCTGATGAGGAGACTACCCTAACCCTAACCCAGCAAGAAAGAGAGATGAAAAAGACAACTGCGTTCCCTTCTCCACCTATCTGAATTTGTCACAACTTTCACCAAATTCACAGGGACCCTTTTCCCAGTTGGGCAAGGATAGCTGCTTGGCTCCAGAATTGGAGAGGGGTCTGAGAGTTGAGAGATCTGTTCACACATTTCCAGCAACTATTGTTACTTCTGGTCTTGCTACTGGGTAAGGAAGTAGCCCAGTTCTACCCCAGTCCCTGAGGGTTCTTTGCCCAAGCCATTCATGCACCCTCCATCTTTGGAATGTTGAAGCCTCTTGTCTTCTGTTCTATTTCCTTTTCTTTTGGTCTTTACCCATTTGTACTGGGTTCAGTAACACAACAGTAAGTTCTTTGAAAGTGTGACGTAAAGTCCTCTCCTTTCTTATGAGAGTGAAGTGAATTTCAGATACAGTTAAAAGCAGGTATGAACTTCACCAAGTCCTGTTATACCCTCAATATTGCATCCACTACTGGATGTCTGTTTTCTTTCTTAGACTTAGGTTATTTTAGAAAGAGGATTATAAGTTCATTGTATTTATGCAAACTTTAGTTCATAGTGTCCACAGTTTAGTTCCCTCCAGTGCTTTAGTGTGTGGTGGTTTATGTAACGGTGTGTGTGTATTTGAGACAGGATGTCACTGTGTACTCCGTGCTGCTCTGGAACTCTTAATGTAGATCACACTGTCCTTAAACACATAGAATTAATTCTTTCTGTCTCTACCTTTGCCTTCAAGTGCTGGGATTAAAGGTGTGTGCTATTACACATAGCAAATTCTTTTATATATTGCATGATGCTCTAATGAATGTCTATTTCTAATATTTGTAAATTTTAGATTATTTTGGATTTATTTGTTAATTTTGGATTATATTAAGACACATTTTTACATGAGGAATTAAAAGTTTAAGAATATCAGCTTTTCTTCCTCCATCATGGCTGTTCTATTTCCTTAAGTTCTCCTCACCCCCCCTTTTTCCTCTCCTCTTTCCTTTCCACTCTCCCTTCTTCCCCAACCCCCACCATGCTCCCATTTTTTTTCAGGCAATCTTGTCTGTTTTCAATTTCCAGGTGGATCTATGTATGGTTTCGCTTTGGGCTTACCTTATTACCTAGTTTCTCTAGGATCATGAACTATAGGCTCAATATCCTTGGTTTATAGCTAGCATCCACTAATGAGTGAGTACATACCCTATTCATCTTTTTGGGTGTGGGTTACCTCACTCAGGATAGTGTTTTCTAATTCCATCCATTTGCATACAAAATTCAAGATGTCATTGTTTTTTACCACTGAGTAGTACTCTAATGTGCACATGTGCCACATTTTCTTTACTCATTCTTCAGTTGAGGGGCATCTAGGTTGTTTCCAGGTTCTGGCTATTCCAAATAATGCGGCTATGAACACAGTTGAACAAATGCCTTTATAATATGATTGAGCATCATTTCGGTATATGCCTAAGAGTGGTATTACTGGATCCTGAGGTAGGTTGGTTTCCAATTTTCTGAGAAACCACAATAGAGATATCTTGATTGAGGGAGCCATTATAGGATTAGCAGAAATCTGGATCTAGAAAAAAAAATTTTAGGAATCCACAAGGATGACCCCAGCTAAGACCCTAAGCAATAGAGGAGAGGGGACCCGATCTTGACTTGTCCTGTAGTCAGATTGATGAATATCTTCATATCACCATAGAACCTTCATCCAGCCACTGATGGAAACAGAGACAGAGACCCACATCAGAGCACTGGACTGAGCTCTCAAAGTCCAGCTGAAGAATGGGAGGAGTGAGAATGTGAGCAGAGAGGTCAAGACCACGATGGGTTCACCCACTGAAATAGTCTACCTGAGCTAATGAGAGCTCACCAACTCCAGCCAGACTGAAAAGGAAACAGCATAAGACCAAAGTAGTCCCTCTCAATGTGGTAGACAGTTGTATGGCTGGGGCAGACTAAGGGATGGCAATGGCACCAGAATTTATCCCTACTGCATGTACTGACTTTTGGGGAACCTATTCTCTTTGGATGGATAACTTGCTCAGCCTAGATGTAGTAGGGAGGGTCTTGGACCTTCCACAAAGCAATGTGCCTTACCGTCTCTGAGTGGATGGGGGTGGAGTGGGAGGGTATGTGGGGGCAATGGGAGGAGTTGAGGGAGTGGGAACTTCGATTGGTATGTATAATGAAAAAAGATAGTTTCTTTTCTATTTTAAAAATAAATAAATAAATAAGAATATCAACTTTCTTAGGTGATTTTGGTTGATGTTTCATGTTTCAATCGATATCTGTATGGGAGTCATTATCTTTTCACCACTGGTGGCACTGAAAAGGATTTATATTAGAAAACCTCCGTTAATCAAAGTGAAACTTGAATCTCAATATTATTTCCTATGATTTATAGTGAGCTTCAAGGTTTTAAAATGTAACGTTGGTTTTGTTTTTTCCTATGGAAGTGAAGTTAATTTCTGTACTTGATCATAGGAAAATAACCCTTTCCTCCATGGAGTTGCTTTTGTCAGGCATTTAGTCACAGCAATGAGTGAAGTAACTAACACAGAGTCCATGCATCCAGACTCTTCTCGTCTTGCAGCCGCATGTTGCAATCAGCACATGTGTCAGAAGGTGAGGGAATAGTAGTTTCCTGAAAATCGGGAACCAGACTTGTTCAGCTGGTTTCCTCAGACTCCTCCCTTCTCTGAGCCAGGAGAGCCTTGAAGGTACACCGTCAGATGTTCTCTGGTGCTAATCTTTTGGATAGTGCATTTGAACACTAATTCTATATTCAGAGCTTTGTTCCTAGAGAGAAGAGGTCGTGTGCACTTACCTGTCCAGAATATTGCATTGAAAACCGGCACAAACTTGTTTAAAACAAAGGAAGCACAGTGAAGAAAATCACATTGGTTTGATCCTGGAGTTTGTACTGTACTTGACTCACAAGGCCCAAGGACTGAGAGGAGTCACATTCAATTGAGCTGTCTCCAGAGGACGAAAACCTTCTTCAACCTGGTAGGTGCTGATGGGGACGAAGGAGTAAGGAGAGAAGGCTGTGTGGTTACAGAGGGTCCTTCAGGTTGGTTGTGAAATGAGCTAATGGTTGTTCCTATGTAGCGTGACCTGCAGGGAAGGAAGCATTCCTCCCTTAAGTTCTCCCTAAGAGGGTCAGTAGGGAGCTCAAGAGAGCATGCAAGGGGAAAGGCCCCATCTATGTTTGGTTTGGTGTTGGAGACATGATTGAAAATGGGCACATGAGAATTTTTGCACGATCAGTGACAATTCTTGTTTTCTTATAGTCATTCAAAATGCAGCTCCCTGTCACTGAGAATCTTTTTCTTTGCTGTAAAGAAAGTGATGTAAGCAGATTACTCTTATTTAACCTTTTTTACAAAGTGCTGTAACAGCTGTTGACATATGCATGTTCACGACTATCTACAGCCAGGGTTTTGATTTCCACCCACACATCTACGTCTCAAACGTTTTATCTCCATGACAGTTTCTGCTGTTGCGTGCTGGTTTGTATGATTGTCTGTTTTCATCTTTCCCTGGCTCTCAAAGTCAGGGTGCTGAGGGAAGAATTCATTCCCATTCTCCACTTGGAAATGGCACTCAGGGAAATGGCACCCCCTCCATTGTGTTTCCCAATCTAGAAACCCTGAATTTCTGTGCATTCCTCTGTCTTTCTCATGACTCATATAAAACCCATCATTAATTTTTTTGATTATGCAAAAATCTTGACTCATCATCCCAGTGTCAGCTTTGAATATCTCTTATTTGAACATTGCTATGAATAGCATCAAAAGTAAGTCACATTCTGCTGCGGAAATTTTCAGTGTCACAAATCTATTTAGATCATTCTTTGCCTTGATTATGTTCTCTTTTTTTCTCATTGGTAGTACAGTTGGCCTCATGAATTCATAGATCCTGCAGTTTTGGAATTAACAGACCATTAAGTGACTATATTAAGAAAAGGGCCTAGGGAGATGGCTCAGCAGGTACAGCCCTTGCTGTGCAGGTGTGAGGATCAGACTTCTAATCCCTAGAACTCACTTAAAACCCAGCTGACAAAGTGTCCACCTGTAATCTCAGCATGTAATAGGCATGCATATCGATATGGTGTCTTTGAGACACTTTTCTCGACAGTGAAACATGTCTGCTACTGGCAGCGCCAACTATTTCAGAGAGATTGATGGACATTGAAGAAACTCACGATGGAATTTGCCTTCAGTGTGATGAGGCTAGCCATTTGGGCAAGAAACTGCTCTTTCCTGGACTGCTTGACAGTATGTTGTATAAACTGGACATGCAGGACCTACGGAAAAATGACTGCTAAATTTGCCAAAAGAAGGTGAGACAATTCTTCAGGATTCCTGCTTCATGAAAGAGTCTGCCAGACATTTTACAGGACACAGAAGAAAGTGACTGATAAACTGCTGTTATAGGCGAAACAGTCTTTCCAATTTCTTGCTTCTTGGAAAAGTCTGCCAGATACTATGTGCCTGTAGGCTGAAGATGGGTGCTCCAGTGTTATAGAGTTTTGGAAGTTGCTTACAATGCATCTCCTGTTTACTTAGGGTAATATTATATCCTTCTGGGGTCTTGGATCAAGTTGACAGCTAGATAATTGTGATTATAGTTTTCCTTAGTTATGATAAAAGATAAATTAGATATAAAACTTTAGACTCATGAAGATAAAAATGATAGAATATCTTCTTTAATTTAGCCGGATAAAAATAGACTAAATATTATCATTGTAATTCTTGATTGATATCTGGCTTTTTTGTTCATTATTTGGGGGTGAGTGGGATTTTTTGCTTTTTGTTTTTTGAAACAGGGTTCAAAAATGGAGCTTCTATGGAGTCAGTCCTAGAACTTGCTATATAGACTAGACTGGCCTCAAACTCACAGAGCTCTGCCTGCCTCTGTCTCCTGAGTGCTGGGATTAAAGGTGTGTGCCACCACTGCTCAGTGATATCTGTTTTGTTATACATAATCTTACTATGTTAATGTTAAAATCATTCTTTTTATTTAGACAGAAAAGGGGAGATGAAGTGGGATACCCCTCTGTATGCTGTGAATATGTTTTATTATAATTGTTTAATAAAAAAGCTGCTTTGGCCTATGGCAGGGTAGAATATAGCTAAGCAGAAAAACTAAACTGAATTCAGGGAGAAAGAAGGTGGAGTCAGGCAGACAGCATGTAGCCACCCAAGATGCAAGATACGAGGTAACAAATCATGCACCTCTTGACAAAATATAAAATAAAAGAAATGAGTTAATTTAAGATGTAAGAGTTTTCCTAGCTTAACAGATGCAGCAAAGAAACTCACTAAAGGGATAAGTTGAGGGATAAGGTTGAGGGATATCAAAAGACAGTTTTGGATGGTAATGAAAGATAGGATAGAAAGTAAATTATGTGTAAGACTTTGGACTCGCCAAGATAGGATAGATAATGGAGTGTTTTCTCTCAATTTGTCAAATGCAAATGGTCTAGATGTTGTTGATGTTTTTTTAACCTATTTTTTTACTATATAAAGTTATTGTATATAGTTTTCTTATTAGTTATAGCCTTTTTTATTTTGGACAAAAAGGGAAAATGTAGTAATATTTTATTTGTGATCCAACAAGTAAAGCTTGCCTGAAGATCAGAGTGCAGTGCTAAACCACTTGTCAACCATAGAGGCCAGGCAGTGGTTTCATACACCTGTAATCCCAGCACTCAGAGACAGAGGCAGATGGGTGTCTGTGAGTTCAAAGTCACCCTGGGATAGACAAAAATGAGTCTGTCTAAAAGAGAGACACAGTTCACACAAAGGCCGTCTCAGCACTTACTCTTACATTCTTTTAATCTCAGGACTAGGGAGGCACAGACAGGAACAATATGGCTAGGTGCAAAGAGGAATGTAAGGTAAAAGGAGTCAGAAGCTCAGGGCAGTCTGAGGATTCTTGGAGACAAAGGCAGTCTGATGATTTGTAGAACTGGATGCACTCTGAGGATTCAGTCTGAGATGCAGTCTGAGGATTCATAGGGACAGGATTGTCCTTATGGTATGAGTATTGGTAGAGGTAAGAACTCTAGTGGCTGGCTGCTCTGCTTCTCTGATCCTTCAGCTTCTCCCCCAATAGCTGACTTTGAGTTTTTATTATTAAGACCAATTAGAATGCTTGTTGTAGTTCATGGTGTAATTTCACAATTTATGGTTGGATAAAACTTTTCCATGCACGTATATCACATTTTCTTTCTCCCATATATCTTCTTAAAAATTATTTAATTTTTGTGTATGGATACTTTGCCTGCATATATATACACTCTGTGTATGCCTGGTGCCTGAGGAGGTCAGAAGAGATCATCGGTTCCCCCTGGGACTGGAGTCACAGTTGATTGTGATCCTCCATGCAAGTGCTAGGGATTGAACCTGTGCCCTCTGGGAAAAGAGACAGTGCTGTTAACCTATGAGCCATTCATCTAGTCTCTGCTTCCATTCATCTATTTTCCATATGAAATTGAGTACCACTCTTCTGAGGTCTGTGAAGAATTTTGCTGGGATTTTGCTGGGCATTGCGTTGAATCTTTAGATTGCGTTTGATAAGATTGTCATTTTTACTATGTTAATTCTACCTATCCAAGAGCACAGGAGATCTTTCCACTTTCTGGTGTCTTTTTCAATTTCTTTCTTCAAAGATTTAAAGTTCTTGTCATACAAGTCTTCCACTTGTTTGGTTAAAGTTACTCTGAGATATTTTATGCTATTTGTGGCTATTGGGAATGAGATGTTTCTCTGATTTCTTTCTCAGCCCATTTATCATCTGTGTATAGGAGGGCTACTGATTTTTTTGAGTTAATCTTATATCTTGCTGCATTACTGAAAGTGTTTATGAGTTGTAGGTGTTCCTTGGTAGAATTTTTGGGATCAGTTATGTAAACTATCACATCATCAGCAAACAGTGAGAGTTTGACTTATTTTCTGATTTGTATCCCCTTAATATCCTTTTGGTGTTTTATTGCTAGGACCTCAAGAACTATATTGAGTAGATATGGAGAGAGTGGACAACTTTAACTTGTTCATGATTTCAGTGGGATCGCTGGGAGTTTCACTCCATTTTGTTTGATGTTAGCTGTTGGCTTACTATATATTGCCTTTATTTTGTTTAGGTATGTTCCTTTTATCCCTGCTCTCTCCAAGACCTTTATCATGAAGGGATGTTGTATTTTATTGAAAGCTTTTTTGAGATGATCATGTGCTTTTTATTTTTCAGTTTGCTTATATGGTGAATTTTGTTGAGAGATTTACATATGTTGAACCATCCCTGCATCTCAGGGATGGAGCTGACTTGATCATGGTGGATGATGGTTCTGATGTGTTCCTGGATTCGATTTGCCAGTATTTTATTTAGTATTTTTGCATTAATGTTCATGAGTGAGATTGGTCTGTAATTCTCTTCCTTAGTAATGTCTTTCTGTGGTTTGGGTATCAGGGCAATTGTAGCCTCACAAAAAGAATTTGGCAATTTTCCTTCTATTTCTATTGTGTGGAACAATTTGAGGAATATTGGTATTAGTTCTTCTTTGAAAATCTTGTAGAATTCTGAGCTGAAACCGTCTAGTCCTGGGCTTCTTTTGGTTGGGAGACTTTTGAGGACTGTTTCTATTTCTTCAACACTGATAGATCTATTTAATTTGCTTATCTGGTCTTGATTTTATTTTGGTAAGTGATATTTATCCAGAAATCTGTCCATTTCCTTTAAGTTTTCCAACATTGTGGAGTACAAGTTTTCAAAATATGACCTGATAATTCTCTGGATTTCCTCCATGTCTGTTGTTATGTCGCCCTTTTCATTTCTGATTTTGTCAATTTGGTTATTCTCTCTCTGCCTTTTGGTTAGTTTGGATAAAATTTTGTCTATTTTGTTGATTTTCTTGAGAAACTAACTCTTTGTCTCATTGATTCTTTGTATTGTTTTCTTTGTTTCTATTTTGTTGACTTTAGTTCTCAATTTGATTATTTCCTCCATTCTAGTTCTCTTGGGTGAGTTGATTCTTTTTGTTCTAAAGTTTTCAAATGTTCTTTTCATTCACTAGTGTGTGATTTTTCCAGCTTCTTTATGTAGACATTTAGTGCTATGAACTTTCCTCTTAACACTGCTTTCATTGTATTCCATAAATTTGGGTATGTTGTGTGGTCATTTTCATTGAATTTTAGGAAGTCTTTAATTTCTCCCTTTATTTCTTCCTTGACCCATTGATGATTTGGGTGAGCATTGTTTAATTTCCATGTGTTTGTGGGCTTTCTGGTATTCGTATTGATGTTGAATTCTAATTTTAAGCCATGGTGATCTGATAAGATACATGGGGTTAATCTAATTTTTTTTGTATCTGTTGAGGTTTGTTCAGAAATTTCCGTGAGGTACTGAGAAGAAAGTATATTTTATGTTTGGATGGAATATTCTATAGATGTCGGTTAAGTCCTTTTGAGTCATAACATCTGTTAGGTCCCTTATATCTCTGTTAATTTTTTGTCTGACTGACCTGTCCAATAGTGAGAGTGGAGTGTTGAAGTCTCCCACTATTAATGTGTGCAGTTTAATGTATGATTTAAGCTTTAGACGTGTTTCTTTTACATATGAGGGTGCCCTTGTATTTGGGGCATAGATTTTTAGTATTGAGATTTCCTCTTGATGGATTTTTCCTGTGGCAAATATGAGATCCCCTTCTTTGTCTCTTTTGATTGATTTTAGTTTGAATTCTATTTTGTTAGATTTTAGGATGGCTACACCAGCTTGTTTCTTAGATCCATTGGTGTAGGAGTTCCTTCTGTGTTGTGTGTTGCTTTCACTGGTTAATGAATAAAGAAACTGCGTTGGCATAGTTGATAGGGCAGAACTTAGATATGTGGGAAAAATAGAACTAAATGCTGGGAGGAAGAAAGGCAGAGAAAGAAAGAGACACCATGGAGCCACCAGAATCTGACATGCCGAATCTTTCCTGGTAAGCCACTGCCATGCATTGATGCATACATTAATAGAAATGGGCTAAATCAAGGTATAAGAATTAGCCAATAAAATGTTAGAGTTAATAGGACAAGCAGTGATTTAATGAACACAGTTTTTGTGTGGTTATTTCAGGGCTAAGCTTGCTGGGTGGCCGGGATGAATAAGTTGCCCTCTGTCTTGGAATAATCCATTTGTTTGGAAATTTTTTCCCAACCCTTTACTCTGAGGTGATGTCTGTCTTTGAGGTTGAGCTGTGTTTCTTGTATGCAGCAGAAGGATGGATTCTGTTTTCATATCCAATCTGTTAGCATGTATCTTTTTAATAGGTGAGTTGAGTCCATTTATATTAAGGGTTATTAATACCAGTGATTGCTATGTCCTGTTAATTTAGTTTTGGTTGTTGGTGATGTTAATTTGTGTGTTTTCCCTTCTTTGGGATCTGCTGTTATAAGATCATCAATTGTCTGCATTTTTATTGATGTAGCCAACTTCCTTTGGTTGGAGTTTTCCTTCTAGTACTTTATGTATGACTGGGTTTGTGTTAGGTATTGGTTAAATCTTGTTTTGTCATTAAATATCTTCTTTTGTCCTTCTATGGTGATTGAAAGTTTTGCTGGGTATAGTTGTCTGGGATGACATCTGTGGTTTTTCAATGTCTGCATAATGCTTGACCATGACCTTCTCACTTTCATTGTCTCCAATGAGAAGTCAAGTGGAACTCTGATAGGTCTACCTTTATATGTTACTTGGCCTTTTTCCTTTGCAGCTCTTATTATTCTTTCTTTATTCTGTATGTTTAGTGCTTTGATTATTATGTGGCAAGGAAATTTTTTTTTGATCCAGTCTATTTGGTGTTCTGTAAGTTTTTTGTTTCTTTATAGGCATATCTTTCTTTAGGTTGGGAAAGTTTTCTTCTATGATTTTGTTAAATATATTTTTGTGCTTTTGAGTCTAACTTCTCCTTCTATACTTATTATTCTTAGATTTGGTCTTTCCTGGTGTCCCATATTTCTTGGATAGTTTGTGTTAACCTTTTGTTAGATTTAATGTTTTTTTTGACTGATGAGTCTATTTCCTCTATTGTATCTTCAGTGCTTGAGATTCTCTCTTCCATCTCTTGTATTCTGCTGTTTATGCTTGTATTTATGGTTCCTGATCATTTTCTCATGATTTCTGTTTCTATAATTCCCTTGGCTTATGTTTCTTATTGTCTCTATTTCAGTTTTCAAGTATTGAATATTTTCTTTCATATGTTTGATTGCTTTTTTTTGGTTTTCTTTAAGGGATTTGCTGATGTCTTCCAATTTTTTGTTTGTCTTTTCCTCCATGTCTTGAGGGAATTTCTTATTTCTTCTTTAAGAGTCTCAAATATTCTCCTGACGTTATTTTTTAGGTCATTTTCTTCTGCTTCATCTATATTTGGTTGTTCTAGTCTTGTGCTGTAGGGTGTCTAGATTTTGCTGATGTCTTGTTGCTTTGTGGTGTTGTATGTGTTCTTACCTTGTCTACTCATCTTTTCCTCTAATTGGTGTGGTTGGGACTTTGTATGACTATGGTGATTAATCTTCTAGGTGCCAGTGAATCTAAGGCTCAGATGGTTGTTCCTCATGGTACAATCAGTGCCATGGTTCTAGTTACCCTGTTGATCATTCCCTGGTCTTGGATGGCAGGCTCAGTGCTCCCAGGGTTTGTTCTGCTCCTATGGAGTTCACTGCCTCAGGTCTGTTCTAGACTAGGTTGCTGGCTCAGTCCTACTCCTTTGAAATTTGTTGCCTCAGGCCCACCAAGGTTGATGGCTCAGACCTGTTCCTGTGGAATTTCACTCTCCCAGGCCTGCTCTAGTCCAGGTCACTAGCTCAATCCTGCTATTGTGGAGTTCTCTGCCTCAGGCCTCCTCTGGCTTAGGTTGCCAGCTCAGACCTGTTCCTGGTCTGGATCTGCTTCTAAGGAGGTCCCTGGCTTGGGGTTGGTTCTGCAAAGGTCTCTGGCTCCAATCTATTCCCTCAGAGCTCCCAGACTAAGATGTGCCCATACCCACAAAGGACCTGACTCAGACCTACTAACTCAGAGGTCCCAAACTCATGCCTGGACCCACAGAGGTTTCTGGTTCCTGCCTACTCCCTCAGAGGTCCCAGACCAATGCCTGGACCCACAGAGTTCATGGCTCAGGCCTACTTCCTCAGAGGTCCCAGACTCATGCCCAGACCTGCAGGGGTCCTGGCTCAGGTCTATGCTCTTGAAGGTCTCAAAATCATGCCCAGACCCACAGTCTTTTCTGGCTCTGGCCCAATTGCTCAGCAGTTGTTCCCCTGTACCTGCTCCTATGGAGTTCACTGTCTCAGGTCTGATCAGGCACAGGTCCCTGGCTCAGTCCTGCCTCCACAAATGTCCCTGGTCTGGATCTGCTCCTGCTCTCTTGAAGTTCACTGTCCCAGGCCTGCTCTGGCTCAGGTCACTGACTCCTTTTATCTTTTGATGAGTCTCTAGGCTGAGTCTATATTTTGACTATTTGGAATAGTTTAACGATAACTTGGATGTGTATATCTCTGCTGAGTGCTGATGTGTGGGCTCTCTCACAATTTGGTGGTTTATGAAAAATACCAGGAATCATTGAGAGCCAACTATACTTTTCTTCTTAACTAAACTTTGCACTTCCTTCTGTCTGATATTAGCAACATGCCCTACTCATTTGACTGGGTTTGCAAGGACGTGGTCAAAAAACTTCAAGGAAAAGATTTGAGTCCTGTCACTCGTCTGTCAGATGCAATGAAGTTCCGGCAGTTTGCAATACTGCAGAGGACTCCTCAGTCACTGTTTTGGAAATCTGAAGATACTCCTGTTGGATATTCCCTCTTGCAGATTTTAGAGCCAAATCTTCCAGTTCCAGGTATTGTCAACCAAGGGGCAGAGAAGTGGCCCAGCTTCCCAGAACCCATGAGGTGCCTAGACAGGTAGCTCATGAGCCATCCTGCGTAAGGCCATGGACAAGGAAGGTCCTTGGGAATCCACTCATTTTCTGGACTCCTCCTTGCATTTGGTTGTATAATACTTTCAAAAGCCTCTTTAGATGGAGATATAGTGCCCATGTTACAAAAAAGCAATTGAGGTTCCTAAAACAACTTGTTTAAAGTTATACAGTTCAATCTGGTAATATTAGGATACAGACTGAGGCCAGCCTGTCTGCAAGTCCCAGGTAGTTTTCTTTCTTGGTGCTGGATTCTGTATTTGAAAAGATGATCTCAGGGGACTCCTAGACACTGTACAAATGATGATTTTCTTTTTTTTAGAATTAAGACAATGTTTGCATTGGTTCTGAAATTTTCCCTCTGTAGTAGTTTATATTTCAAATATAAATTCTTCTTAAATATGACATACGTAATTACTAGCTTTTTCTTGACTAAGTTTTAAATGAGGAGGGGAAATGGCCTCCTGTTACCCATTCTCCAGAGAAGCTGTTCCACAGCGAGTTCTTGGCTAAACTTCTGTCCCCTTTCCTCTTCAGAGTCTGAGGTGTCAGCTCCCATCCCCCTCAAACACACTGTGTCCCAGAAACTGAAGGCTAACACGGGTGTCAACGCCGTTGCAGAAGGAAGCGTGTCAGCAGCTTATGTTAAGTCCTGTGGATATGAAATTGAGGTTCAGTGTACCAGCATCCCAGACTCAAACCTGGAAAGTCTTCAGAACAGGTGAAAGGGTGGTTCAACCATGTTTTGGGATGTGATGTTGTAGGCTAAGAGGCATCAAGCAGGTTTTATGACAGTTCACATTATTTTACTTTATTTTTTTGCAAGTCATTTTTACAGGCCATTATTTAATGGCTTATAGTGTTCTAGTAATACTCAGTAATGTAGAATTACCTATTACTGTTCTATTAATGTGACGGGGACCGGAAAATAAGACAGACAGATATAAGGATTCTGATCTGATATAGGTTTTTGTTCATTGCCAATAGGATGGGCATATAATGAGGAGAGAATCGTAGAAGTAAGTGGTTAGAATACTGATTAAAATGTAAAGAAGTCTGTAACAATAACTTGAACACTCCAGCCCTTTGGGGCTTCATTGACTTTTACCACATCTCTTCTGAGATATAATTTACAAGTAGAAATTCATGTTTATGTGCAGCATTTTGGTGATTTGGGCATATAAGTCAGTAACATATTATTACTTTATCTGGTACCCATTATTTAAATTTTTAAAATTGTATTTATTCATATAGTGTGTGTGTGTGTGCGTGTATGTGCATGTGAACCCTCATGCCATGGCTCAAATATGGAAGTCAGAGGATAACTTGCAGGAGTCAGGTCTCTTCCTTTGCTGTGTCTCTGAACCAAACTCATGCCAACAACCACCTCTACCTGCCCTAGCCATCCTGCCAGCTCAGTAACTGTTATTGTCATGACAAGAACATTTACTGTCTACTCTCTTAGCTGATTTGAAGCACATGTTGCATATAGCCAGCTATGCCTACATTGGATTTTACTGTGTCTTCTGGCGATCCTATTTCATGTCCTCACACGTGCATGGTGAGCACTTTATAGACTGAGCCACATCCCCAGCCTGAACCTGACTCAATCTCTTTAGTGCCCAGAGGCTGGGTCACGGTTTCTGTTTTTTATTTGTTTTTCCTCATGATTTGGTCTCTGTTTCTATGAAGTTAGAGATCTTTTCATTCTCATTTTACACCTTCAGGAAACTTCTGGATAAGGAGCCATCATTTGTGCAGGATTGCCGGATGGGAAGGAAGGACCTGTATGTGGTGACAGAGGCCTTTGAAGTGACCAAGGACACTGTGCTGGAAGGCAGTAGCAGTGTTGACCTGTCAGGAAAAGCGCTCATCCCCCATGTTGCCAAGGTATGGATAGAGATGGGAAGAAAACAGCCAGTGTAGCCAGGGCAGCCTGGCTTCTCAAGGGCTCTGGGTACCAGCTTCTAGGGCTCACAGGGTGAGAGGTTCCTTTTTCTTCCTGCTGGTATGTAGTATATGCTGATTTCTGATCTTGAATTCTTTTTTAAACATAATTTTTTACTGATTCTTTGAGATTTCACATCAGATACCCCAATTCCACTCATTTTCCAATTCCTCTCTATCTGCCCTTAATCCTTGGAACATCCCCCCAACGGAAAACTTAAAAAGAAATAATAAAAATAAGATATGGAAATACAAATAAGAATATCAAACAAACAAAATGTAAACCCAAAAGAAATAATAAAAAGAAACAATAAAAACTAAAAACCACAGGTACGAATATTAAACAAAGAAAAAAAACAATAAAACAAAACAAAATAATAACGAAAACCACATTGTTCTTCAAACATCTTTTCAGCCCCTCCATCACCTCTTCATTCTTCTTCGAGGCAGTGGGAGCTTCTGTGTATCCTGCAGCCTACTCTTTTGTTCAAACAGCTTTACTTGCAAATGTTCTTTGTGTAGTGTGTTGCTGGTCAGGTTCAAGGCCTTTGACTTCTGGTAGACCATCAATACTGGACCCTCAGTGAAGATCCTCTTGGACATCCTGCTATCGCCCAGAGTCATGGTCTGACAGCACTAAAGGAACTCACTGAGTTTAATAAAAATTAAAAAACAAAAGAGCTCAAAAAGTTGGGAGGGGAAAGTGATGGGGGATGGGATAAGAGAAGAGTTGGAAATGAGTTAATGAGGTGTGAGTTCGATCAAAATACATTGTATGAAAATATGAAATTCTCAAACATTAAACCATATTCAAGTAAAAGAAATTGTACATAAAAGGAAAACAATTTAAATTCCAAGGACTTCCACCTTCAAATTCTATCTCCTCTAGTTGTAAACCAAATGCAATGTAAAGATGCCTTTAGGTATGAAGTTTTTCAGGCGTGTTCCTCTCAGTTCCCTGAAGATAATCAGTAACAGGACAGAAAAGACAGCAGACATCACACATGGTCTGGAATGAAGAGAAGCAGTCTCACCCAGCAGCTGACAGAGAGTGCGCACTTACCCAGAAACCCAGATGTGAATATAGGGGAGCAGTCAGCACTGAGGGCCAAGTAGGAGAATGAGACCCTCAACTCAGAGGGAGACAGGAAATCATATCCCTAGCTTGGAAAAAATAGGGCTGGTTGTGTGGCTCAGTGGTAAATACTAGCCTGGTATCATGGTGCTCTGGGTTCAATCACCAGGCCTCTCCAGGAACACCTCCTGAAATTCAATGTAGGTAAATATTGTCATACAGGGGGAGAAGCAGAAACTGGACATGGGGACCAGGAGGAAGGGGAAGTGAGGGATTGCTAGTATTTTATCATGAGCTTTCTAAGTTTATTTGATTTTAAAATTATAGGTATATGTTGCCTTGATTAAAACTAAACATAATTTTCATGAGACAAAGAGCTATTAAACTTTGGGAATGTCTTGTCTCCCCAGGCTCAAGCCCAGGGACAGTGGCAAAGGGAGACAACGGATTCAGTGCCTATCCAGAAGGGTGCGGTGGTGGCCTACAAGAAGAAGCAACTTGTCATTGAGAATGACACTTGTGGTGAGAAGATGTGGGGGGCAAGTGGGAGTGGGGTGTCCGAAGTCCTGAACCTCCTCTTCTTTCCTGACTATACACTAGGAGGGGCAGTCCTCACTCTTCGAGGCACATGTCCCACCATCCTTTGTGACCACCAAGCATGGCCGAGCTCAGGCACTGCTAGTTGTACCTGCAGCGATAGCCTCCTCCGTGGGAAGGTTTCTAATTTGGGGTCCTCAATGGAGGTGTCTTTAACTGGCTGAAGCCCAGGACTAATCTCAGCCATCTCTAGTCATTCATCTCTAGTCAGTCAAGATCTTGCTACTCTCAGAAGCTCATTAGGGAGCCCACAGGCCCACCAGGTGATCCTTAAACCCCATTAATGCTCCATAAAATAATGGAAGCACAACACATACAAAACTGTAGGCAGAAGCGTTGTCTGAACAACAGAGCACAGGATTTTCCCCATGGCTTTATTTTGAAATGTACAATCCCTCAACACACACACACATGCACGCACACACGTACACACCCCTGAAATAACTACCCTGTAAATTGTGCCCAAGGGAAAGTTCTGGAGTCAATCCTCTAGTTGGCAACAATAGACCAGGAAACATTTACAGTATGGTACAGTTAGTGGATGATGGAGTCTAGAGGAAGATTGTCCAGACTCTACAAACACCCTTTACTGAGTTATAGGGTGGGGAGTGGGTACAAGGTCGGAGATGCCTTTGAAATGATTGGGGGAGATGTCCTTTCTGTCACAGATCATGTTAAGTGAACAGAGCTTTCATTTAAAAAGGGAAAGAAAGTGAACCTGTTACTAAAAATATTAACAACAAACGAAGAGTCGAAAAACCAAATCTATTTAGATCAGATGTTGTACCCAGGAAACCAAAGCCATGTTAATGGAGGCTGAACCTAGGCGAGTTCCCCCAGAAGATTGTGGGTTGAGGTGCGCACGGAAGGAGAGAAGTGATGTTCTATGTGGGGAGCACCTAGGGGAGCTGACTAAAGGGGACATGTGTGAGAGGAGTGGATGATGGGAGGGGACTCTGTGGTGAGGGCTTCTGAATGTGCAGAGAATGTTGTCAGGTCAGGACAGAGCTTGGTGAATGAGGGAGTGAAGACAGGATGGGACCGGATGCATTGTTGGTCACTTACTCCCTGTCTTCATGTCACCTTGGGGGGAAAGGTTCATTTCCCCTTACACAGGAGAAGGCCAGTTTTCCTTGAAGTGATGAGCCAGTGATGCGACAATTATTAGTTTCTATTTGTTCTGTTATGAGGAGTAAATTTGTGTTTGGCATTCAGCACATGGTCCCAGTTGGTTCCCTTCCTTTCTATGACTGATTGTGTAAAGAAGATGCCCTGCTCGCCCCCTAGTGCTCAGAATGTGACTTGCAGACACTCTTTGAAGTTTGCTTTTTGTTTAACTTAGCTTAGTTCACACCTTAAATGATGTTGTTTTTCTCCATAGCCTCATTTCATGTGTCAAAGACTTGAACCTCGTTGTTAGGAAAGTTTCAGCCCTCAGCACATCGCCAGATTGAGAGCGGATAAGGAAGGGTCAGGTAGTGACTGAAGGCTAACAAGAAGCCCATATGACAGGGCAGGAGGAAGCCAGTCTGCTTTAGCTCATGGAGTTATTTGTTTATTTCTCTTTTGTAAGTATTTGTGTTTTGCCTGCGTTTGTGTACAGTGTGCATGCAATGTCCCGAGGAGGCCAGAAGAGAGCGCTGCCTTGTGTTGAGGTCCTTTGCAAGAGTATCAGTGGCTCTTAACAGTTGATCTTGTTCTCCAACCCTCAGGGATAATTCTTGAATGTCAGAGGGCAGGATGCTTATTTGAAATGCAGGTTTCCGGCTGGTGAGCTGGATCGGCTGGCAAAGGTGCTTGTTGCCAGGCCTGAAGCCTTGAGTTCCACCTCCAGGTCCCAGGTGTTGGAAGGAGATAACTGACTCCCAGAGTTGTCCTCTGACCTGTGCATGTGCTCTGTGGCATGCACACACCCTATAAATAAACAGATAAACAAACATAATACAATAAAATAAAACAAAAGGCAACTGTCAAAGGTACTGATTAAAGGTCAAGAGGCTAGTGTTTAGGTTGACATCATCCCTGGGGTTTGGCCGGAGGGTCCCTAAATGGGGTGTGGGGGATTACTCTAGCAGGTGTAACTGCATCTCTCCTAACCGAGTCTCTTTCCCATCAGCCATTCTCCTTTCTGCCAAAGCTAAGAAGAAAACCTTTGTACGTATGCTACCTAGGATGCTAAAAGGTTTTGCTGCCTCAGCTGAGGGTTCCACGGAATATTCTGCAACCATTAAGATGCGTATGTTCTTTCTTGGACACGATATCCTGGGGATAGATTTATCATAGGAAATTTCCCATAAAATTAGAATTGCAAGGTGGAGAGCAGGGGTGGATGGAGGAGCTGGGAAGGTTCAAGGGAGGCAGAGGGGTGGGATGAGTGAGTCCTGGTGAGTGAACCCTGCACTTTCTCTTTCCAGAGCCATGTTCTAGAAGACAGCTAGGTGAGTGAACGGTCCTGGGGGGAATGAGAGTGGAACCTGCTCCCTCATGCTGAGAACTGAATAACAGAAACCCGCCTGATTGTCTTTGACAGGGGTCTTGAGATCTGGTCTTCTGCACAAGTTTTGGGGGTGGAGAATAGAGAAATGTCAGGGATACAGGGGAAGTAAGGTCAAACACTAATTCTTGGGTGGGGCAATATATTTTCTCTTTCTAGACTGGAAGATCAATTACATCTCTCCAATTGGTGAGTGTGTGTCTGGTGGGGTTGTTGTGGAGATCCGGGTGATGCTCCTGTGGTCAACCCTAGCCCTGTCTCTGGTTCCTGTGGGATGGGAAAGATCATGGAAGTCTGGTGTGGAGAAAGCATAGACTGGGAATGGGGCAGGAGGAGCTGGCAGGAGAGAGACACAATGTGTGTCAAGGCAAAGTAAGGATGAAGGGAGGTGATAACTTGTTTTCTCTCTCTAGGAAGGATAGAGGAACCCTTCCAGCAAGGTGAGTGGGGGTTTGTTTTTGTTTCTAAGAGGATACCTGAGTGAGAGGACACCGTAGGCTTGGAACTCAAATGAGAACTTTCTTTGGGATTCAGAAAACCGAGTGCTACTTTCACATTTGTAGTTAGTTCAACTCTCACATGCGCAACTGTGAGCACTAGTGTACAGCGAGGACTTAGGAGGAAGCAGCATTCCTCCAGCATGCAAGGTGAGGTACTGGGATGAAAGCGCCTGTGTCTTTCCAGCTTCCGCTACAGCATCCTCTCTTAGTCACAGATCACCTGGAGAACCCTTGGGAGAACCAGAGCATCCTGAAATGCAGTGCTAGGCTAATTCTTCATAGATGGTGGGGATACTTATTAATTAGTGGAGCTCTTACGTGCCAAGTTCTGATGAACACAAACTCCTTGACTCCTCATCATGTTCTCATTTGTCACATTGTAACCTGATCCTCAAGAACACTGAGGACTGACATCTCTGGGGTCTGACAGTACATTTTCTTTCTGATATATCCCAGAAATGCACACATGGTCACTTTTGTCCCACTGTGATAAGCGGTTTTCAGGATTTCCATCTCCACCCCCAGGGCTGTGTCCTCCTTCCAGAGTGCCGAAGCTGCTGGTATTCTAGCTCCATGATAGTTGCCTCACTGGGGCTAAAGCAGGCTATCAGTGGAGAAGCTTTTAGCCACCAGAACTGGTACTGAAGGGCAAGAGCTTACCATCCCAGAGATATTTAATTAAGGCATCACTCTCACTTTCTAATTGGTGTTGCTGTCTGTGAGCAGATTTCAAGCACCTACAAAATGAGGTTTCTGGAAAAACAGAGCAACTGGCCATGCTTTCAAAGGATGTTCAAGAAGCTGTGTTCTCTAGCCTGCTGCCTATGTTCAGTGACAGGGAGATTCTGGATGACCTGATGAACAAGGTGAGAGTTCCATAGCTGCCTAGAAATGATTTAACCAGTAAGGGTCAGTTTTGGTGCTGAGAATGTCAAGATACATGAGGGAGTAGAGATGCATGTGATACCAGACTGAGAACAGTGTCCAAGTTTGGGGTTCTGGCTCCATGCACAACGATGAGACCTCAGAGTGTGGTCACTGAATTCTGCTCAGAAAGTCCCTGGAGGAACACCTATAGAACCTATAGCTCACACCTTGCTTAACTCCTCTGGACACAGGCACATTATGCAGTGATCGTTTTGAGCCAGATGTGGGAAGTGGAAGCTACTTGCAGAAGAGCTGCAAGTTCAGGGCCTTACTGAGGTACATAGTGAGTTCAAAGCTGGCTTGGGCAACAGCCTGAGACCATGTCACACAAAAGAGGAAAAAGAAGGGAAAAAGTGCCAGGCTGCAGGTTCACGGCAGAGACTCGTTCAGCATATACGAAGCCGTCCTCTCCCCAGCACTGGGAATGCTGTTATTAACAGAACACCTGTCTCCTCTAGCTGGAACTTGATCAGTTTGGGCATATGGATGACCCAGGTGATGCGATCCTAGATCAGCTGCGAGAGGGCTCCATACCGCCATGGATCGACTTCAGGAACCTCCTTCTTTATCTCCTTCAAGCCCTAATGGGTAAGAATGATTTGAGGGAAGTGTGGGCGAGTCCTCGTGTTGGCTGTCACAGGGCTGTTTCAGATGCCACCTCCCCAAAGCTCTTGAGTTATCACGGTCTTTCTCACATCACCCTCCTCTCTAAGGCCAGCAAGGCCAGAGTGATAACAGTCCATGGACCACAGATGGAGACAGAGGTGTAGAAAGTGAGCAGTCACCAAGCTCCTGGCACATCCTTGGCGGAAGATGATTCCTTCCTCAGCCCTTAGATTTTGAGGCTCTGAGCCATGTTGCTTAGGATTCTGGGGAATCCCTGTTTGTGGTAGCATCAGAAGCAAGGCCCACTTGGTCGATATTAGTTACCTAGGAAGGTATCTCTGTAGGAACTCAGGGGATGAAAGTCAGTTACAGCTTTCTTTATTTACAGTTGACATTTGAAAGTCTTTTTTTGTCTCCCCTTATGTTTGTCTATAAATACAAATGTGTGCTTAGCCAAAGACAGGAGAGCTTTCTAAGTCAGTAAGCTTGACCTTCGAGTCCAATGTGGCATATTCCTCTGTCGTAGAGTTCTTCTCTAATTGGCTGTCCTCATTCATGGTGAGAAGAAAATGTTGAGTCTGTCACTGTTTCTTCATGTGTCTTTTCCCCCAGTGCTGAGTGATACCCAACTCAATCTGCTGGCCCAGTCCATGGAGAAGAGGCTCCTCCTCCATCAACGAGAGCTGGTGAGAAACTTTCAGGGGCCAGCATCCAGGGAGGGAGAGAGGAAAGCAGAAAGAGGAAGAACATTCTAGCAGAAAGCAATACATTTTCCACAAGGAGAGGAGTTGGGAACCCCCTGGTTGCTTTGTCTTTGGGGAGCAGGGCAGGTGGGGCTTGATCCTGTCAGAAGCATCTCTGTGTTTGTGGCAGCCTCAGAAGCAAGGCCCACTGGGTCTAAATTAGGCACCCAGGAAGGCAACTCCGTAGGAACTCGGGGGTGAAAGTCAGCTACATCCTTCTTTATTTACAGTTGCCATTTGTAAGTTGTCTTTTGTCTCCCCTTATGTTTGTCTATAAATACAAATGTGTGCCTAGCCATGTGCATACATGGACACACTCACACACACCCACCCACAGATGGCACTCCTGTGCAGCATAGGCTTTATTATTACATTGTTGTAGCTGAGGAACCAATGCACAGTGGCTTTAGGTCTTGCTTAGTTCATTATCCTGTGTGGCTCCTGGCTGTCAGGACAGAAGGTTTTTCACCCTGGTGTCAGAGCCTGGTCTTTCCAACCTGAGAGTTCTTCTTCTAGGTAAAGAGCATCCTGCAGCCGAACTTCAAGTATCCCTGGAAGATCCCCTTCACTCTCCAGCCTCAGCTTCTTGCCCCACTCCAGGGTGAAGGCTTGGTCATTACTTATGAATTGCTGAAGGAGTGTGGTCTGGAGATGGAGCCGAATAATCCCAGGTCAACTTGGGATCTGGAAGCCAAGATGCCCCTGTCTGCCCTTTATGGGAGCCTGTCATTTCTGCAGCAACTTGTAGAAGCCTAAATCTCCCTCAAAGCCTGGCCCCAGCCCAGTCCGTACCGTGTCCAGGATATGTTTGAGATATGATAACCACGGTATCCATGGAAATGATGATTTCTGTGCATGTTCTAGATGGTAGGAAAAGGATGCTAAGTGTTTTTTGATATTACTATTCATTCATATTAATGTAAATAATCTATCCTGATTATATTCTTCTCTCTCATTTAATTTACTAATTATGTATACAGCATTCTGCTTGTATATACCCCTGCTGACCAGAAGAGGGCACCAGATCTTACTATAGATGGTTTTGACCCACCATGTTGTTGCTGGTAATTGAACCCAGGATCTCTGAAACAAGTCAGTGCTCTTAACCTCTGAGCCATCTCTCCAGCCCCAGAGGCTACACTGCTGAGGAATTGTAACTCCCTCCTCCCCAGCAGTATTAATTGCCTACAGTGTCTGAGGGAAGCGTTGAGCCTTAATGGCCCCTATTCTATCCTTGATGGAATGTTGATGGGCCTGGGCTCTCTTGGTAATGTCCAGGTAGCCATTGCTACTATAAGTTTATGAGTCTTATAGGTCTGTCACATCCTTGCCATGTCTATAAGGAAGTTTGCTGTTGTCTGTCAAAACTCCTCAAATTGTAGGCTAAAGATTGAAACATTTTCCTCTATATAAAATAAAATAAATGTTAGTATTGCTTAATTGTGTTCATTTTGAATTGTTTTGGGTGAAAGGTGCTGGTGTCAGTAATTTGGAATGCATCGGAAGTAAATTTGGGATATTTTTAGGTGGATAGTTATTAATGTGATTACTTCATACGTTTTCCAGGCATCCTTCCTCATTTTCTCCTCCTCTCTCCATCTGTATTGTTCTCCTGTCCTCTTCCTAATTAGACCCCCCGTTTTTGCCATTTCCCATCTGGCATCTCTTGTACCCTGCTGTTCCCCCTCTTTATTGCCTCCTACTGCCTACAGTCTGAAGTTATCTGAAACACTCTCAATTAAGGACGGCCAAGATCAAGTTAAGATCAAGTTTTCCTGTGACCATTTCAGTGAGAAATTCTCTTGTCTGATGAATGATATTCAAGGGCCCAGTCCAATGTGGGAGGCACCATCCTTAAGCAGATGGATTTAGAGTATACTTGCATGGGCGAGTGAGCAAGCCAGCAAGCCTTATTTCTCTATGGTTCTTGCATCAGAGTTCTTGCCTTGACTGCCTTTCTGACTTCCCTCAAAGATCGACTGTGACCTGGGATTATTAGATGAACAAACCCCTTCGTCCCCAAGTTGCTTTTGGTCATGGCGTTTATCACAGTAACAGAAAGCAAACTATTGTGTGTCAGTTACCTCCAATACCTTACAGCCAGCAACAGTAAAGACCCCAACCCTTCTTATTAATTTCATATTTAGAATTTATGCCAACTGAAGTTCATAGTGTTCCGCGGTTAGTTCTCCCCAGTTCTTTAGTGTGTGTGTGTGTGGGGGTTTATTTGAGGGTGTGTGTGGCTGTATTTGAGACAGGGTGTCACTGTGTAACCCTGGCTGGTCTGGAACTTGCCATGTAGACCACAGTGGTCTTAAACTCATACAATTAATTCTTCCTTCCTCTACCTTTACCTTCAAGTTCTGGGATTAAGGGCATGTGCCGCTACACCTACAAGTTCTTTCGTATTCTGAATGATGGCCTAATGAGTATCTATACCTAAATATTTGTTAAATTTTGGAGTATTTTCCTTAGGAATCTTTGTATATGTGGAATTAAAAGCTTGAGAATACTAACTTTTTAGGCAATTATGTCTTATACTGCTAATAACTTAGAAATACTGTGGTGGTTTTTGTTTCTATTGATATCTGTATGACAACCATTATCATTTCATCACTTGTGGAACTAGAAAGGATTTATATTAAAAAGCTTTCTTTAATTTAAGTGAAACTAGAATCTCAGTTATTTCCTATGATTTCTAGTAAGCTTCAAGATTTTAAAATGTACAGTTGATTTTGTTTTTTTATGGAATTAAGATTTTGATTCTTATTTGTAAAGTTTAGTTCTGTCAATGATCTTAGGAAAATAACCCTTTCCTCCTGGGAGTCTCTTTTTGTGTCATTTGGTTTATGATGAGTGAAGTAACTTACACAGAGTCTGCGCATCTGGACTCTTCCTGTGTGTAATAACTAATACAGTGTCCATATATCCAGACCCTTCCTGTGTGTAATAACTAACACAGTGTCCATTTATCTGGACTCTTTCTGTGTGTGTAATAACTAACACAGTGTCCGTGTACCTGGTCTCTTTCCATGTCTAGTAACTAACATGTTGCTTGTGCATCCAGACTCTTCCCGTGTGTTATAGCTAACACAGTGTCCGTGTACCTGGACTCTTCCCGTGTGTAATAACTAATGCAGTATCTGTTCATCTTGACTCTTCTGGTCTTGCAGCCACATTACATCCAGAACATTCATCTGAAAATGAGTGAATAGTTCCAACTCCATTTCGGGAGTATCTCAAACCAAACTTATTCATCTGGTTTTCTTTGCAAAGATAGAGAGGTCCACTGTTTCCTAAGAATCCACCATCTCTGAACCAGGAGAGCCTTGCAGGTACACCTTCAGATGCTCTTTGTTGCCAATTCATAGTCTTTTGGATGGTGGATTTGAATAATAGTTCTATGTTCAGAGCTTAGTTCCTAGAGAGAAGAGGTCATGTGTGCAATGGTCTGTCCTGGTCCTTTAAAAGACAAGCCCCACCCACCCCTCCCCCACCCACCCCTCCCCTGCCCACACCCTCCCCCATCCACCCCAAGGCAGACAGATCTTCTTTCCTGCTTGTAGCCTGAGTCCCTTCCTTTTCTGTCTCTCTCCCAAAGAGGCAGCTTCTGCCTCACTGCCTTCTCTCCACTTCTCCCCTCCCCCTTCTCTACTTCACTTTATTTCTCTCTCTCTGCCTTTCTGCTCTTCTCCCTTCTCCCCTTCCCCCTTCCATTTTGCCTCCATAACCCCCTAAATCAATACCCACTTACTCTGCATGGCATGCCTATCGGTCTTGTCTCTCACCCGCCATGTGGCTCCCTGCCTGGAACTGGCTGCCTTTGTGGCCTGCCATGGTCTTGTGCCTGCTGCCCACTGATGTCACTCTGGGACCTGCAGTGTTTCTGCCCCTACACCCCTTAGGGAACCGCAGCATTTTACTTTTACCATTACATTGGTGCTGTGACTCGGCCAGGCTCTCCAGGTTCCCTCCCGCCAACGGGCAGGCTGGCTGAGGAAACGTGGGACCCTGGACTCACTCTGGAACCAGGTTTCTTTACAACAGCTCTGTGTTCTATCTGCCTGAACACCAACCTCTACACACACCAGCCCCCTTTACTAACATTCATCTCTGGTTGCTTTCCATAGCTAAAAATATGACCAGACAACCTGGGGTTGGTCCTCCCATGCTTAGGGTCTCTCAGATTTTTCTTTCTCCTTTTTTTTTTAACTTTTCTTTGGACCACTTGTAAGTGGTCCCTGCAGTGAGAGACCACTCGGAGCAGCCTCTAGCCTCTCTGGCTTCTGAATCACCGGGATCGGAGCCAGTCAGGCTTTAACATCCCACCTGTGGAGAGAAGACGCTCTTCTACAGGTCCTGTGGTGTTTTTCACCTGTTTTCACATTTTCAGCTATGGTATAAACCCTCAAACCATGCTCTGCCGGTGTCCCGCCAGCTCTGCTTTTTCTCAAACTGTCCCTGCCATTGCTGCCGACAAGATTGGTTGGATCCACGAGACAGTTGTTTTCAACTCCGGCTTTTGCTCCCAGACACAACTTGTGGCATGGCGGCTTTACTACAGGGTGGATCACACCTCTAGGTCTCTCTTGTTATTATGTTTAAATCTCCTGCACTCAAAAAAAATGTGGCTTTTCCGTACAACATGTGACTGCCACCATCTCAACTGAAGTCAGGTGCCCTCACTGTCATCTTAACTGAGAGCCAGGTCAGGTGACCAAGTCCCGCCATCTTTATTGATGTATTCCCTGCCTGGTTCCTTTTGTTGACTCTGTTACATATGTGTTTTGTACAGTGGCATGCCTTTGGTAGGGTCGACCAAGAGCATCCACTTTGCCCAATTCCTGTTCACTCTGTGTCTGTGTGTCCATACATGTAATTTAAATGCACCTATGTTTACTGTTAAATGTTAAAATTGTCTGCCTATTATATCTCATTCCAGACTAACAAAACAGTACGTCTCATGCTTTAAACTGGTATGTACTTTTAAGTCTCTTACAAAAATATGGTATATTTAATCCAACCCTGATTTAAAATATATTAAGCTGTTCTCTACTGTCTATTGTCAGTTCTGTCATTAACCTTCTATTGCAAGCAATTTTTTATTCTTTCTGTCTTTTTACGAGTGTAAATCTTACCTATTAAGTTGAAAGCCAGTACAGTCCAGCTCAGACCCAGCTCTACAGGCAGATTCTATACTGTAGTTATACCTGATAAACAGCCCTCAACTGTTCAGAGATCTGGGGAATATAACATTTAAATACTTAATTATTAAAATACTTTTCATAACAAAAAGAGATAGGTTGACTCCTAGCAGCAGCAATATATTTCCTTCAAGAAGACAGAAGACAGATGGGCACAAAACAATGTCCATCCACACTTCATTTTAACTGCCAAGCACTGACCACTGGGCAAAAAAAAACTGCTTTTCATCTAAACTGAAGGTCTCTAGACAGTGGACAGAATTTCTGGATTTGACAGTTTAGCTGCTCAGGTCAAGGTAGGCTTGTCTTCCTACAGATTTCTTAGCTCCCAGGATCTTCTGGAGCCTGGCAAGCCCTGCGTTAAACAGCAAAAGAAAAATACAACCCTCGGTGACCATGGAGAACCCTGAGGAGTAGCTCTAGGTGTCAACCAAGTAAATTCTTTGTCTTTTTTTAAATCAGTAACTCAAGTAAAATTTTATCCTTCTCAAAGATCTCTGATGTAGTTTGACAGCTGAGAGGTTTTGTCGGTTTATAAAGGCAACCTCACCAAACAAATTTCAGTAAAACACAAATACAAGTTATTAAGGTGTATATCCTTGGATGTGACCAGCTTTCTTAAGTCCCCCCTACCCCTGACGATGCCCACCATAAGCAGGAGGCAGTCTTGAGAATCTGATGCCCCAATTCTTTTAACCTGTTGAGCCTAATCTCCCACCTTTTTATTATAAAAATGAGATGGGAATGTAATGGTCTGCCCTGTCCCTTTAAGAGAAGAGTCCTGTCCATTCCCTCCCCTGTCCACCTCTTCCTTCCTGCTTGCAGATCTTCCTTC